TTTGTGATTTAGAGTCGTGTGAACTATTTGCACTCTACAGCGCCGGTTTGAGGCTCTCAGGTGATACCTTTGGCAAAATAGGTGCGTATCTTTTTCCACAGGGCTACGTTGTTGTTGAAGATGATGCCTCTTTCGTTCATGCCGAGGCAGCTGAGTCCTGGTTTGCTCCCAAAACGAGAGGTGTAGTTTCCATTCTTCAGAACGTGATTAACTGCTGAGGCCCTGATGAAGGGGGAACAAAAAAGGGTTGTCATAAAAGTTGAGAGGATTTGTACAGAGCATTTAACGTTCAAGGAGAAAACCAACCTGCTGAGTATAAGGGTCTCCTCTCCGTTGATCCAAACTCTGACAATGTCGCCGTACTTCTTGTTATAGTAGTTGCTGGCTGTGCCAATCCCAGTCCAGATAAATCTCAAATATGATAAATGTGGACCAAAACCCAGGCAGAACCAAGGGCCTGTTGTGGTAGATGACAGTGAATTTTTTGGAGTTCACGCTGAGCTCGTTGTCTGAGGCTAAGAAACTAAAGCCGGACCTACCTGGAACCGTGTTTTTCTCCGTGTGACTCCAAGCCACCACCAGCAGACAAACGAGAAGAATGAGGGTTCTTGTTGCTGTCGGGATAACAGGTGACAGGTGTGTTGTGGCGTTTAGGGAAATGGACACCAGGTCTGTCAACACACCATCCAGATCCACAGTGGACATGGTCCCACCACAGGAAGAGATCGAATCCATAAGACGGAGGGTACAAAACGACGTCGCTCCTCAAGCCCAACCGGTGGAAATGATGAAAGCTGTTTGAGCTGTCTCTTTATAGGCTCTTTGAGCTGGTGACGAGCCAGGTCAGGGTAAAACAAAAGCCACAACATCTTTGGAAAATGGTAAACAATACTGGCTAGACCTTGAGAAGCTGGATTTGCGCCTGTGCCCTTGAGCGTACAGGTCTCAGTTGAGCGAGTGCATGTTGGCAGAACCATTTGTTTGTCATTTTGTTGATGAGAAGCATCGCGCCGTCCTTTGAACATCAGAGGAATGCGATCCTACACACAACAGCTGGCTTCAGAGCGCATGGGAAACCCCGTGTTATCGCTGCCATTATGGGAAGTTTATCTCTGCAGCCCAATTCGTTGGTAGTTTTCGTCTTTGCAGGCCAGGCAGGGCTGATAAAGTTGGGATGATATACGACAATCTCACTTTTTATTTAACTTGATTTGTCGCTTTCAGTTTGGTCAGATTAGGATTTCTAATAGCTTTTTAATGAATTCCTGAAAGTCACGACTTGCTTTTTCTGAATTCGCTTGGATAACATTTGAGCAGCACATGAGCTTCACAGGATCTGCCTGTTTACTCATGAATCACTCAAATAAAATGTCATGCGGTTTAAATGAGGATTTCGAGATCTGTTGTTAAAGTATAGATGGGGTAAAAAAAATAGCTTTTATTAATCGTTTGTAAATACTATCATATTTTTTGTGTATTTGGCTCAGACATTACCTAAAACATCTGATTTCCTCACTTTTAAATTCATTCACATACTAAGTAGTTGTTTCCCTTTCCTAAGCTTCACAGTTTCACCACATTTGATCCTTTTTTTTTATTTCAGGGTGCAACATCTCTTTGTCTCGGTCAGTGCTACGTGTTACCTGCTACACCCTGTTCATATTAGTGCCTTTTACACAGATCCTCTAAATTTGTAGTGTAATGTCAAACCGTCCCACACCATAATACCACCACCACATCTCGCAGAAGCTTGTATGAGATGTTAGCAGAAATCCACACTGCTCTGGGATTTCTTTGTCTAATGATCGTCACCAACAGCTTTCCTGTCTTTAGGAAGATTAATTTGCTTTCATAATGTAATTCAATAATTAGAATCAAACTTTGATCTTTGTCATTTATAGAAATCATCTCTTTCGTGATTATCATTCAGTTTATTGAAAAACGTTAAAGAAATAAAGCAGTGTCCAATCTTCTTTAGAAGCAAAACTTTCTGCTTATCAAATGCTGAAGAACATAAACAGTAAGAAAAAGTCACTTTTAGCTAATGTAGTGCAGAGAAACATGTATGCTGAAATTAACTAAACTAAACTAAACTATTCTAAGTCCTGTGTATTCCCACCAAAGTTAAAGCTATTTGGGTTACATGTACGAGGTGGGAAGTCGTTTCGCACAGCTGCCTGGGAACCTGAAATGTTTCCCATGTTTTGGTTCCTTTATCTTTGTATGGAGCTTACGTGTAGAGGTTTCAGGGGGAGCTTTGCATCCAGACATGCTTGTGCACAATATATGAATTAATCTGATTGAGTGATTTTACCTGAACGGTGCTTGGAAATATTTTTTTTTTCCACAACAGTATAAAAAACCTGAAATACACCAAAGTAGTGGAGGGATTTGACTTCATGTTAAGTACTTAGTTATTGAAGAGCACAAAGTTTTAAATAGCAGAAAGTGGAGGAACTAATTGTTGCCCAAACTCTATGTTTCATTCTGCACGACTTTCATTTTACTTGGATCATTAGGGGGTTCCTTAAATTCTCGCTCATCATACAAAGCAAGAAACATCCTCCATGGAGTTGCAGTCCCCAGCTGAGCTTCCACCTCACAGAGCACCCATCCCCAGTGACACCACCTCCCAGCTCCTTCAAATTAGAGGCAGCAGCAATTAGCCGACGCCTGGTGGACATAACGAGGCGCCTTGTCGTGACGACCTCCTGAAGGCGACGTGTCACAAAGAGAAGGAGCTTCCAAAGGACAATTTCAAAGCATCAAATTGCAAAGTCAAATTTCTTTCCATTTATGTTTGTTGTATCCAGCATAAATCGAATGGTTTCCTGATTGTGCCATAGAATGGCACCATGTGCCTGGAATATACATAATGCCCTCCTTTAACATCTTGTTTTGGGAGCTGAGGGTTGTAATTCAAGACAAAGTCCACAGTGTTTGGCTTCATCTCTCCCTTCGCTGCGTTTAATCGCTCTGCATGAAAGGCTCTGTCAGTTCACTCACCGCCCACATTCGAGTTCAAGAATGCGCACGGTTCAAACGCACGACTGTGCGCTTGGGGCCTGCCACAATAACTGAGGCCTGTCTGATGGCTTAGACCAAGATTGTTCTGGATGATTAGGCAACGACAGCCCCTCGGTAAACTTGTCTCTGGGTTCAGGGCTGTGGTCAACCACAACTTTGTCTTTACTGCATCTGAAGGTGATGATTGCACAGTTACATGTTAGACGATGACATGTTTGCCTTTGTCTTGCAATCAAAACCTAAAAGTTTAGAACCACTTGCTGGCTACAAAAGATGTGCATGTGACTATGCTTCAGTTTAAATTACCAACTCGGTGCTGTAAGACTTACTTAAGAAACCTTGACAAATGTATTGGATCAAGTTTAGAAGGGCTTTGCAGGCTTGGAAAGAAGATATGATAATGGAGAGAAGATTGCCTCAGCCCCAAGCTCTCATAAAAACGTGGAGACAGCAGCCAGAAAGAGTACAGTTTTATGGTCCTCTCCCTGAACTTTGCAATTAACTTCACTTATTGTATACAGAAGCAGTAACTTTTAAATCTTACAGCCATACTGAATCCTGTGACTCTCACAGGATTCGATATGAAGTGAAAATGTTTTTGTTCTGATAAAGTTCTCTTGAACTCTGACCTTTTATGATGTTTTAACAGCTGCAGCTGCTTATTTCCTTCTGAAGCAGTGTTTTAACGTTGATCGTGGCTTTTTGTTCAGCTGGCCTCCGGTCTGAACGACACCAGCCGGGCTTTAATGAAACTCAACCTTGGAAACACTGAGCAGCGGGGTGAACTTCCCTTGAAAGTGCGCCAGGTTATCTCCGTGCCCTTCATTAACTCTGGAGTCAAAATGCCTGGAAGAAGACACGAAGATGCTCGGCAGGAAGATGATCGAAACGCAAATGTTTACTTCAAGCGAAGCCATTTTGTGAGGAGTCGACATTTTCCTTTGGCGTTCGTCTGCCAAATGGCGGCTTCGCTCTGTTTTCTGTCAGCTAAGCTTGGGGCAGTGAATGAGGAGCAGCGAAGGATCAGCCTCCATGTTTTTAAGACGTTATCTGTGTACATGTCTACACATCTGGCGGAGCAATTCAAGCTGCTTGTCCATGACCCACAGCCTCAGGCATGAGGCCCCACACTAACTCTAAAAGCAGTAGTGAAATCTGTGCGTCTTTGTCCGCAAAAGTTACAGAAAATAGCTGGGAAGTACATCCAAGTCTGTTTCAGTGGATATGTCCAGAGAGACTAATCAAGTGATTCGGTTTTGCAGAACCCCAAAGCAGTACCGCAACCAGCTCTGAGACCTTTCAGCGATCTGAAGGTTGTTATTTATGTAGTTCCCTCCTGAACTGTCACTCGTCAGGTGAAATGTCCCTGTCGTGGGCCAAATTGAAGGAATAGAAATGGGTCAGTGGTGCCGTCGGTGAATGAAAGCCACCTAGATGTGACAGGGCCGAGGAGCCGCAGGGGGCCGTCCGGGGAGGACAAAGGCGCTCGGAGACCGAGGGAGACTAACCAACTCCGAGGCGCCGCGGTGACGTTGATGCTCTCTGATTTTGTCTGCTTTCTCTGAATCCAAACGACGACGCGACGTCACGGAACTTTGTCCAGCGCGCATCGAAAGTTTGCATGTGTTATGCAATGCGAGTGCCATTGCGTGTGCATCACACAAAAAAACAAAATGTGTGTCGATGTGCGGTGATGTCAGTCTGCCCACGGCGGTGCAGTAAAATGGCTTCTGATGAATATAAATCAGGTGACTGAACAGGCTGGGGTTTCTTCCCGGACCAGCTCAGAAGATTGAGTGTGATGCGCACTCCTACACAGGCCGTGCACGCACACACACACACACACACGCACACACACACACACACACACACACCACACACACACACACACACACACACACACCAACCCCCGCTGCAACTGGGTGAGCAGCACATCCACAACTGTGTTTACCAGTCAGTCTTCAGATTAGACCACCATGGTAGAGGGCACACGCTGAGGGTTATTTGGAGCGCTCCAATGGCTTTCCCTTGAATTCAATCGACCACAGTGATTTGTTTTGTTTTTGGGACCTCCGACCCTGAGCTGGAACGTCATCCTCCCGTGAATGCTGAAGCACGTCGTGGACCCCCAGAAGCGAGGAAGCGAGGTCCTGACAATGTGGATCCCGACCCCCAGCATGACCGTCCCGCAGCGGATGGTGCTGTACGGGACCTGCGTGGTGGCGCTGGTCAACTCCGTGGGCCTCCTCGTCCTCGTGGCCCAGCAGAGCCAGCAGCGCGCGCGGCTGGAGCGGACCGAGGCGAGGCTGGCCGAGGTGGAGCAGAGCTCGGTGGTGGAGTTCTTCCGGGAGGTGCCGCGGGGGGCCGCGGGGCTGCGAGCGGGCCCCGGGGACCGCGCGCAACACCAGCAGTACTCCAGGAGCAAGAGGAGCGAGGAGCTGGAGAAGGACCTGCAGCGGGAGCGTCATCATGACGATGGGGGTAAGGGGTCACGGCTGAAGGAGGCCAGCCAGGAGGTCGGAGAGGAGAAGGACGAGCTGAAGCTGGAGCTGAAGCACAAGCACCGACATGGCCAGCATCACAGCACACAGGACGACATGATGATGATGATGACTTACTCCATGGTGCCGGTGAGATGGTTGCACTGTTAATCATTTCATTAAAGTGTTTTAAATATTTAAGTCTGATTGAGCTAAATTGGCTCATTCTATGATCACAGGCTGCAGATTTCATTTGATCCCAGTATCATTAAGACCATGAGCTGCTCAATGCAATCTGCAGATGACAACACTACATTTTTCAACCAATAAGATTCCTACATTGTTATTCGTACAGATCAGCACGGACATTAGTCAAAATAATGTTCATCTGCACCTAAAATGAATTTTTTAAAAAACTACTCTTTTTTTCAATCCAGTGATTTTTACCATCATCATAAATTCAGATATTCCTTCTTCTGATTCTTCTCAGATCAAATTGTTGATCGACATCTGCAACAGCACTCAGGGAGTCTGCCTCGCAGGTATGCCTTCATATATTAGCTACAAATGTATATGTAAAGACATAACTCACACCTTACTCATCAACAACCTCACACTTTGCTCTGCAGGACCGCCGGGACCACCAGGTGAAGCCTCACATCTTAAACCCAAATCTGAAATGCGGCCCATTTTTCTTTCCCATTAGAGGAAGAGCTGCTTGTCTGTTTATTATTTTCTTTTTTTTTTCCATTCTATCCATTTGTTGTGTAGGTCTGCCTGGTGCAGACGGCTCGCCAGGCCACAATGGGACCGATGGCACTCCAGGACTGAATGGACTGCCTGGAGCGGATGGAAAAAGAGGGAAGAAAGGTATGGAGAGAGGGAGGATCCACTCTGGCCATTTTCATTAAAGCTCCGGGCAGTTATGGACGAAATGGAGAGGAATTACTGGCATAATGGAACAATCAAAGGGCTTAGGATAATCTGAGGTTAAAACGTCCACTGCGAACAAACACGCTCTTCACATACACACGGGACAAATAAACATCAGACCAGCTCACAGTTTTAGCAATTTGTGGAGGCTGAAAATTTGCTGTAATCTTGTAATAAATACACTGGTATTACATATTATTACACTTTTGAATTGTACTGCTGCATTCTTTCACTTGAGCATAGGCATGACCTTCATAGTGCAGTTTATTAAATATAACTATTAAATTATTGAATGATTTAATAAGTAAATCAATAAATAAATATTAATTAGGTTTATGGCACATAGTGTCTGCTCTCTTTGATCCAGATAAGACAAGTAAGACAAATCAGCTGGAATGCTGCTTAAAATCTAAATTTCAGTTTCGAAAAGGTGAAAGCCTCATTATTCTCAAAGTCTAATGGCTGCTGCATGTCCACAACCTGAAGGTAGCTGCGCTAATAAGCTGAGCGCCTCAGATGGTTTGTGCTTCATTACATTGTTGGCACACAGGAGGTGTGTGATGCTGCATATTTTGGTATCAATCCAACAACAAGAAAATACCGATATTGATATAAATACTTTTTCATTAAGTTTGACATGTTGTCAAACTTCTGACCTTTAGATGCTTCTGTTATTTTTTTCTTTTAATTATTTTTGTTCATTCCTTGGACAACATTTAAGTTCATCTGCAAAAAACTTTAATGAGATACTGACATGATTATTTTTGCAGGTTTCCTAAATGAAAATACAAACATGATTTGAGAGCAAATCCAAACAAAACACTTTTTGAGGTAGTGTTGAGGCTCAAACTTTGACTAGACTATGGTACAAAAATAAAATAAAAATTTAAGAGGGAATCTGAAACTAAAGCTTCGCGGACATGTTCATTTTGTGTTTGAATCCTTAACATGCAAATAAATATAATGTTTTTGTCTCTTTATGTAAACACAGTAAATCTGCAACAATAAAAAGGGAATGTGTTGATTGTTAATCTGTGGGAGCAGGCTTACTAAATGTAGATGATGATTAACGTTTTTTTTTGCTAGTTCATCTCTCATAGTCAGATATTTCAATGCTGCATTGTCTTACCTCTGAACGGCAGAGAGGAGGAGGTGGAAACGGCTCTTTTCCCCCCACATTTCCAGCAAATATTACTCATTACTGTGGTTTTGGCCTTCAGCTGAATGACTTAGGAAAATCTCCCAATTCTCCCACTTCCACTTCACAATGGATTGCTTTATGGATGCAACAAAGCCCGTGTATTAGTATTTCACCAAAAAAAAAAAAAAAAAAATCATAATAATTGTATATTGGATGAGTTTGTGCTGTTTAACGTCATGTGCAGGACCTCCGGGTGAGAAAGGAGAACAAGGAGAACAAGGAGAGCCTGGTCCACCCGGAGAGCCATATGAACCATCCAATGAAGTCATTGTTGAGGGTAATGAGACTAAGTAAAACCCAAAGGGAGTTTAGAAGAAGCCTTTTCTTAAATTGCAAAGGTTTAGAAATCTTCATGTTGCTTTTATTGCTAAGGGCCTCCAGGTCCTCCTGGCCCTCCAGGGCCTCCTGGACCCATGGGACCTCCTGGGCCTCAAGGGCCTCCAAGGACGAGGCACCACAGAGCTCACCTGCAAACCGCTCATACTCTGGGTAAACTTGAACTCCATAACCTTAAGGATGATGAAACAATCATCCCATATTTCTGAGTTTGACATTTACTATTAGACGTTAACATTAAACCAATCACACTGTGCCTGGCAGGACTGTTGCACGCCGTGCCAAACGACGAAACTTTGACCGTGAAACAAGCTGTGAAACTTCACGAAAAGCCGGTTAAGAACGGTGAGGCTGTTGTCTTCACAGCGCTAATAATCAACCACCTACAGACGTCAACATCTAACCGTGTTTGGTTTTCCCTCAGAGTGCCTCATAAAGTCCCTGATAAATCCCAGAATTGTGGCAAAGATGGAGAGCACGTTCGGCACGTGGATGAAAGACACAGCTCACCTGAACGATGAGAGGATATGGGTGGCAGAACACTTCTCAGGTGAGCCGTTTTGACTCTCCTCGTTTCTACAAAGGAGGCTTCCTATAGAGACGGCAGTCGGGTGAAGATTGTGCCTAAAACCTCCTCAGGTCGCATGGTGAAGGAGTACCAAAACATGGCTGCTTTCCAGAACGCCAGCAGCGAGACGGTGGATGTCAGGAAGTTTTACCAAGGCTGCGGCCACACCGTCCACAACGGCTCGCTCTACTATCACATCGCTGGTACTTCTACAATCGCCAGGTAAGTGTTATTCGTCTCAGAGCGGCTCCGTTCCAGTTTCATTACATTCACTTCTTTTCAGTAAACTCTTGATCCTTTCCCAGATTTGACTTCAGAACCAGGAGGCTTCACACCCTCTACATAGACAACGCCTTGTTCAACAACCTGTCTTATCTGCTGACTAACTCCAAGACCTACTTCAAGATGGCGGCCGACGAAAACGGCCTGTGGCTGATATTTGCCTCGGGAGCGGATGAGAGCATCATGGTAGCCCAGCTGGACCAGAAGACCTTCTCCATCACGTCCTACATAAACACCACGTACCCCCGCACCAAGGCCGGCAACGCTTTCATCGCCTGTGGCGTCTTGTACGTCACCGACACCAAGGACGCAAGAGTTACCTTTGCTTTCGATCTGCTGAAGGGGAAGGCAGTGAACATGACATTTGACCTGAGGTCTCCTGGGGGAGTTTTGGCTATGCTCTCCTACAGCCCGAAGGACAGACACCTGTACGTTTGGGACCAGAGCTACGTCAGGCTCTTTGTGGTCCATTACATCTCTGATGAGTGATAATCTCACAGACACAACCATTACATCACGCTCCGAAGCAAACCCCGTGTTGATAAAGTTACACACTGCTAGATTTAGAGGAAAAAAAAGCTTTAACGTTTACAACAAATATATACATTAGTCTTCATTGCCATGTGGAACATTTAGTCCGAATGAGTCTGAACAGATTTTAAATAGTTGTTTTTTTTTTCTACAGTAAACTGAATTTATATTGTTTCTGCGTTTGTTGTTGCATGAGTTGAAAGTGGGATTTCAATGTTACTAACAGACTAAACCCTAATCGCTTGTTTTTTTTTTTAGTTTTGTATTTTTTTCACTGCACACATTTTGACATGACTATATCTTTAATGTTGCAACTTTTAAGTTAGTCTAAGTAAGGCAGTGAAGGCATCAAAATCTTTTTAAACACCAAAAATGACTTGTTTTTCCCATTACAAGTAAAAAAAAGAAGAAGCTGTGATAAATACCTGTTGTTGCAAACTGAACCAATGATTTACCTTCTGTATCTGTTTTTGATGACAAATGCATGGCAATCAATCCATATTTTGTAGAAAGGTTATACTCCCCAATTATCCATATCCATGGCAGATTTACATTTAAACTTAATTTTACCAACATATTACTACAGTTTGTTGTAGTAATATGTTTTAAATTGCTTATTTACATGGAAATATGTAAAAAAGCAATTTAAAACAAGAAATAAAATAAAAACAATTTTAAAGCAAATCTGCCAAGCATATGAATCATTTTGGCCTTAGCCGCACGTTTGCATGTTTTCTACCGTTTGTGGTGAAACAGCATCGGTGCCGACTGATTACACTACTCAATAAAAAAACCAAAAAATAAAAAACTTTTCAAAAGAAAAAGAAAGCAAACCTGATGAAATAAAAATCATTTATTCACTTTACAGAGGTAAAACTGTTACCTTGACCCGTCTCTCACAAACACCCCCAGGCTCGATGGCCCCGGCAAACATCTAACGATGATATTGGCTTTCTTTGCATGCACACACACACACACACACGCACACACACACAACAAACAGCATTGGTAAAACTCCTAAAACACATACAGCACATGTAGTGGGCAGAAGGAGGGAGGAACACTAATCTCTTTAATAAATACCACACACTTAACAAAAGTCACAACTAATCCAACTGGTATGATACAAACTAAAAAATAAAGAAATGTCTTCATGTTTGTACAAGCTGTTGTTGTAGTTCGTACTGTATATATTTATATATATATATTTATATAATTCATATAGTAAAACTATCTTAAACGCTTTACTACCAGGGCAAATAAAGCCAGACATTCATTTGTATACAACAGTTTCTTTGATAACCTATATATTTGAAATAAACCTTTAGTGTCTTCAGAATTTGAGTGCAAATATCTATTTTCTCATGGATGAAATAAAAACAGCTGGCGAGGTAAACACACTAACAGTAGACTGTTGCACGTTGTCCAATCGGAAACAGTGAAAGCTCTTACATTCCTAAAATAAAAGGCAATAAGTTAAAACAGTTCTTCAAAGGAGCAGTAAACCAAACACAAACATATAAATACTTTAAATATTGAAATCAACTCAATTAAAACAACAACAACAACAACAAAAAAAGAAAACAACCCACAAACATAAAAACAGAATTGATATCGTTTTGTGCAAAAACCAGTAGTGAACCTTTGTGTTTCTGCTCTGGGCGGTCGGGTGTTTAGCGTCAGACAACACAGATGAAACATTAAAAGTTACAGTCAGAGGGGCGTTCGATGGTCTAGCGGGGAGGCTAACGCACTAACAGGAGGGCGGGCAGACACGGCAGAGAGAACACACACTTGGATCAGGTCGAACTCAAACCAGGAGAGGCCACAGTGAGCGATGGGCAGCCAGTGATCAGTGGATGGAGGGGGACAGAAGAGAGGCGTCGCCGTTAAGAGCGATGCGCCGTCAACTCTTCGGTGAGAAGCCGGAGGGGCCAAAACTATTGAAACGAAAAGCAGATTCCAACGACTCGAATCACACCGGAAACCACTGACTTAATAACGAACCACAGTGCTGGTTACAGTAGAGGCTAAAAGATTTCAGCGGTGGGCACAAAATGACGACAGTTACACACTTTTTAAAAATTTTTGCTTGAGCACTTTTACAGAGCACTATCAATAGACCTGTGATTGCACCGCGGAACGAGAACAGGACATGCATAGCTTCCCTATGGACACACTCTATGAGAAGAGATTCATCAATAAAATTACAACAAATCTAGCTTTTAAAATCAAGTATGATACCGTTTGCTTGTAACTTTTTGTTTTCAGCCTTTTTGGCGAAAAGAAATGTTTGCAGCTGTGGTTTTGTCGCTCTGGATAACATCTACTTCTGCAGTAAACCCATGACCTCTGCACACTCCAAAAAGCGCGGCAAGCTGTTGACGAAATATCCTCACTTAAAGGCTGTTTGACGAGCCTTCGCATCGTTTTGTTTCTTTTTCTACTCGTCTTTTTCATCTTTGGACCCTCAGATGTGGAAGCAGGCATCACAGGATGTCAACAATGCTGCTGGCGATGTTGTAGCGGTCAGGGAGAACCCTCATCTTCAGGGTGCCGTCCGCGCCGCAGGTGAAGATGCGGTTCCCCGGACGCGTCTCCACCTTTGTGACGCCGTTGCCGATGTTGCGGAAGATGGACTGCTTGGCGTGTTCGTTGCTGAAGGAGTGCATGAGGCCATGGCCTGCCAGCTTCCAGACCTGGAGAGAAAAACACAGATCTGAGAACTCTTTTTGTTTTCCCAGTCAATATTTACGAACCTTTTTGTGGAGGATGTTTCACTATTGCTCTTTATACTGTTCAAAGAAACAACTGTGTCTTGGCCTGATAGGTTGTGAGCATTTAGAAACCTGCTAACTTTTACAAACACTGGAAAAAATGCCGGATATAATAATTTATAACATTTACAATTTACTGGATTCTAGTTTGTACTTTAGTACCAAGGTTCATTGACCCAATCTATTGTGATTTTGATCTATAGGTCCACTGTGGAACAAAATTAATTATCTACAATATTTAAGATTACACCTGGACATGTATGAAATATTCTGAGTTGTATAAGTTGTTTTTCTACTCTTCTCTCCTAGACAGCTGCACAAGGTAACTCATAGTCTCATAAGAACAGCTCTTCTTTGTGTCAGTAAAAGGGAGGATCAAGGCCGGCCGCCTGCAAGGGAAGTGATAACAAATAGTTGGAGCACCCCCACTATGGGAACCGGATGAGACGCTCAACTTATCAGTGTAGCTTTGAGGAAGCTAGGTAAAAGACACCTTCCCCATCTGGGCTGTCTTTTTATGTTATGTGTCCTAATTTGGTAATGGGCATTTCATCACCACATCGTGCTATACCAAGAACAGTTCACTTCTCTGACTTTTATTTGTTTTTATGTGCTTCATTTTTGTTTCTACAAACAAAAACCGAATAGAGGCCAAAGAAGGCGTTTCCAAAGACTCGCAGGCTGTGGAATGTGATACATTTTATTTCTTCTTTTTGTTTTTTTACATAAGTCATATCTACTACTCTGTATTTATTTACATCACCATAAGAAATATGTAAATCAGATCAAAAATAAAACATATAATAAACATTTTTTGAAAAATCCAATAAAATTGGTTACCTTTATGTTTCCCTCTGCAGAGCCGGTGACGAAGAAGTCCTCAAAGGGATCCAGAGCGAGCGCCTTGATGGCCGAGTCATGGGCCTGGAAAGTGTGCAGCAGCTGTCTCTGGCGGATGTCAAACACACACACAAAGCCTTTCCTGCCCCCAGTGATGAGCAGCTGCTGCTTCTGAGCGTACTCGAGGACAGTGGCCCCGTTCTCATGGCAGGGGAACGCTGAGGGAAGAAACATGACGGACGCGTTACAGAGCAGCTTATTATGGTGGAATAATACCTTTTTTTTTTTTAAACATCAGGTTTCTTACCGTGGACTATAGTATTGCCAGGTGAAATCAGAGTGTCCCACAAGCAAACATTTCTGCAAATATTAACATAATAATCAACCTGACTTTTAAAAACAAAACGTCTTCGATTCAGTTTCTCGATGTGGACGCTTGCCTGTTGTCGTTGGACTGTCCGGCTGTCGCGATCAGGCTGGAGGACGTGATGAACGCAAAATCGCCGCAGGTCTTGGAGTGACACTGCCAACTCTGACAGCAAGAAAAGAACAAAAATGAAGAACAGTGACATCAGGATTTACTTGAAAGCGTTTGGTTTGTCGCTGACGGTCTGACGTGAGGGCGGGGAGTCGACCTCACCAGGTAAGGTTTGGGGTTGGAGGACGTCTGGTTGACCTGCCAGAGACTGAGGAATCCCTCTCCGTCAGCAACTCCGCACTGCAACAGGAATTTAGAAAAATCACAACAGTGCAGCAAGCAAACAATACACAGCCAATATTCCCTCTCTTTCTCAGTGTGTGTGTGTGTGCACACCTTGTTGCCTTGGGAGTTAAAGTAGAGCCGGGTGATACGAGCGTTGCCTGCTTGTCTGAAGCAAATGAGCTGCTGTGGCCTGTTCCATTCGAACATCCTCACGCTGCCGTCCTGAGCCCCCGTCATGTCTGAGGCACACGCCAACATGTCAGAGGAAAATTCATCACAACTAACGGTTGAAACCAGTGAAGCGGAGTCACTTACAGTACTGATAAACAGGGTGCGATGTCATCCTCTTCACATTATTTAGATTTCTTTTCATAATCTGGATAAAAAAATAAAAAAAAGTAAAATAATAAATAAAGTTAATATCGATAGTCTTCTAAAACATCCAACAATCCAGATTTGTAAGATAAGAAATTACAGGAAGTGATTTAGAGGATTAATAGAGTTTATGTACATTTATAAAAAGTTAATTCATATCAGCTTTAAAAATGTACAATTAGAGATTAAACTGAAAATATGCAACCCCCTCTGCAAATTAGGTTTACTGGCAAAAAAAGAAACAAAAAAAGTAGCATTATATTGGTGTTTGCGTGGCCCGAAGAGGAAGTAACGGCTGAAACCAGATTCCTGAGGAGGCAGAAAACTGTGACAACACCTGGTGGGTGCGGCCACTGAGGTTTCAGTTTCCACAGTAAGGGACGCACTAAACATCCCCGCTCTGTTCTGTGGAGCGAGGAATCCAAACGACAGTGCTTTGAAGCTATGGATGAGGAAAAATATTACATGCAATAAAGAAATCTGTGTCTACAGTGAAGCACTGAGGAGGCTCAGTGATCCTCAGACAGCTGTTGTTCATCTGGCAACTTTTTAAGATTTTTAGCAAGAAAATTAAAATATCATCCAAACACCTAATGTGGTTTATGTCTTTCATTGCTGCTGTGAAGCATTTTGCTTGTCATTTGTGAAAAACATAGGAGTTCAAAATAAACACACAAAAAAAGCACAGCAGCAAAATTTTATATACTCCCTAAAAGTGGAGTAAAAGTTTCTGTTTCCTTTTCTTTCTCTCTGTTCAGCTCAGATTAATCCACCTTCAAATTCAGCTGAATGCATCACATATAAATGTAATGTTGTCCCACCATTGAACCACACATTTCCTCAAATCTATTTTCCAAAAAGATGCTCTTTTTTTTATTCTACATATGCCAATACATTTGTCCTAAACCACAAACCATAATTTAGAAAAACCATCACAAATTTCTGGCAAAATTCTGTTTTTAAACTAATTTTTCATCTGCTAAAGATTCAAAAGCAAACACCAGGAACATTATAAAATGATCCCCTGGTCTTATTACAGAAAAAAAAAAAATCCACAATTCACCACAGCGCAGCACGAGGATTCAGATCTGTAAAAACCACAGAAGCAGAGCAGAGGATCACCGCCTGCCGCGTCCTCTTCACTGTATCGCGCCGAACATTTATCAGCCTGGCTGGGACGCCGAGGTCTCTGGCTGTAAGGTACTGTGACGCAAATCTGCACCTTGGGCAGACGGCTGTGAGAGCTATCTGAGTTTATAAGCAAGCCATCTCTGCCGCGCGGAGCTGCCCTCTCCTCTGTATCAGCGCTCATAGACTCAGCAGCAGGTCAGGAGTTTAGTCGCCGCAGCTTTGTTTGGCTCAATGTTGATAAGTTTCAAAAACATAAACTTTGTCTGCGGATGAGCAGAGACTTTGAGCTAGAGATTGAATCTGACGCTTTAGGTTCCTTCTGCTGTTTGTAAATACGAGTCATTTTTAACGCATGTAAACCAGACCAAAATAAAACAAAATAACTAGGTCACTTCACAGAGTTTCACCCAACAGCAGAATTGGGAAAAGAACCTGGTTTCCCCCTACTGTTAGAGGCTAAGAACTGCAAACTCAACACTGCCTGGTGCAAAGTTTGGAGATTTTGCAACAAAGTATCTCATACCACACTGGCCCCCATGCTGGTCTGACCGCTACCGAGCCACGGCATGGATGCAGAAACTGGCATCGGCGGCGGTGCAAAAGACACGGAGCTCGCCTGGGCGATGTTTGTGTGAGAGGAGCGGGGGTCTAAGTCGTCTGAGCTGCAAAACAAAACAGAAAAAGAACCATTGTGCTGATTTAGTTGGGTTTTTTTGTGCTGGAAGGAAACAACAGTAAACAAAAATTATTCTTTGACTTGATGCAACTCCGACCTTCGGGATTCCTTATCAAAGTCGTCTCCTATCCAGGTGTAGGGCTGGACGGCCACCAGAGTGGAGACGTCCACCTCCTGGACGTCGTGGGTGGATGCCAACACGATCTCATTGGAATTAGCCTGAGACAAGAAGGCAGCAAGGAAGAGGTGGAGGAGGAGGGGCAATGATTAACAGAGGGGAACTGCTTCTAACTTGATTGAAAATGACACAAATATGTTAGATTCCAGGACATTTTCAGACAAATGTCAATTCACTTCTTGTACACTGAAAAAAAAAAAAAAAAAAAAACATATTTCCAAGAAAAATTCTGCCATAAAATTTGAAAGTACTTACCCAGTTAATGGCAAACGCCATAATTATGTCAGACTCCTTGTGAATGATTTTAGCCTTTCCTCCAGGATAGCCCAGATCTGCCTCTACCTGAAGAGCAAAAGAAAAACCAAAGCTGAGGAGACGTCAGAGCTGCAGCTCAGGGATCTGAAGCTAGTCAGTAAAAGAGAGAGATTTGCTCTCTGAAAGAAAAGATTAAATTAATTTCCCAGTAATATTAGTGAAGCAGGAAAGGACTGTAAATTTCAAAACTCGATTTTTTGAGTTGCTTCAGAAAAGATTCCCGCACCATGAAGTTTCATTCAAATAAAAGAGAAAGGCAGTAATAAGACGATTACAGATGCATCTCAGTAAATTAGAATTATATCGGAAGGTTTATTTATTCAATAATTAAATTTTAAGAAATGAAACGCATAGGGATTCGTTACACAGTGATATATTTCAGCCATCTATTTCTGTTCATTTCTATGATTGTTAACTCATGCAATCAAAAATCTATTATTCTTTGAATATTCTATTGCATAAAACTAATAACATTTTTACACAGAAATGTCATGACCTACATTACCATTAGCAACAGCTGTTATTCTGGTTGTGCTAACCCAATCCTGAACCAGATATTATTTCAAAACAACTTAGCTAAACTGAGGGGAAAAAAGACTGGAGGATGCATTTTGTATTTCATTTTGGAAATCGGTGGCCGGCAGAGAGTGACAAACCTCTCCATGCTAGGAGAGGCTGCTAGCATGTAGCCTCTGCATGCTAGCAGCCTCTCCTAGAGAGGGGTTAGCCTCTCCAAAGCTAACACAACTGAGTAGCCTCTTCCTTATTTGTGAGTGTTGTCTGCTCAGATACCGGTGTTGGCCTGTCAGTAATCAGATCGTAGCCGGCTATGTAACGGATGTAACCTCCTGCAACAAGGAAGTTTCAACCACTGGGTGCGAAATAGTCTTAATTTTGGCGCTGAAACCGCCCATTGTTTCTGTAGGCTAACACTTTCTTGCATTACAACTATTTTGTTCTCAGAAACTGAATTTTACACTTCTTTTAATGTCAAAATTGGTAGAAACAAATACATATCACTATACGAGCAGTGGATATGTAAAATTGTTCCACTTTTTCAACTGAATTACCAACCAAAGTGTCACTTTCTGATATCACTTTAGTTTATGGCGATGCACCACTGCATGGCAGACGCATAACTTCAATGTAAGTATAACATTTTTGTAAGAAAAACTGCAAAGCTACAAAAGCCTCCTACAGCCCTGACAGTGAGCATGCAAGTTAGTCGATCTACTGAGTGTGCCATCGCTTGCTTGCTTTACGTCCATCAGAATCAGTCCAGTTAGGCAGGAAAAAAGGAGTGAAAGGGAGATGTGTTATTTTTGGGATTTGGTTGTGAGGAGAAATGTGAACGGATGTCCCAGTGAGAGGAAAGGATCAAAAGTCACACCTAAGCCTCAGAGCTAGAGGACTTTATGGAAAATAAATTAATAAATCAAAAGACTGGAGCGGTCACTATTAGGCCAAGCTGGAGAGGAGAAAACCAGTCCTTCACCCAGTTTGGTGACGCCACAACCCACATACCAAAACCTTATGCAGCAGACTTTTTATTTTTTACTTTTTAAAATTTTTTATAAATAGTCTCATGCATTTCCTCCTTCGAGCTTGGCTTTGCAGTGATGCTCAGAGACAAAAGGGCCCGGGCTGGGACGGTAAATGATACTACCTTATAGGGACTGCTAGCTCCAGCTATGCAGTTTGGGTTTATACGGTCCACATGGTTCTCTAAAGACTACACAACACACAGAGGCAATATAGACACGGAACAAACCAACATGGCACAACACACAACACATGCACAAACAGAAAAAAAAAAACATGAAATGAAAATGAAGAGGACTCAGAATCTCATTGTAATCTTGTTAAAAATAGAAATCAATAAATTTGTCTCTTGAAATAAAGTCCTCGTCATTAGAATGGATGAACAGTGAATCTGAATGTTATAGGTAATTTGTAGCTCCTGCCTGAAATCTCACTCGTCAAATCACTTGCAACAACACGAGACCAAGCACATGAATCCTCTGGAACGTGTCTCATAGATGTAAAAGCTTTTCTATTTCATTTGGGTTATGAGTGATTACTTTCTTCCAAACAAATCCAGACATCACAGAAGGCAGTGATCTGTCTTGTGCTTGATTAAAGATGAGAAGTCAAAGCAAAGATAATGAAACTAAGAAAAAAAACATAACTAGAGAGAGAAAAAGCTCAGTTGGCAACTTCCTCTGTCTGACAGCATTATGGTGGACGGTCAGGTCTGCTCTCTGTTTGATGAATGATTCCTCACTGGTCCACATAATCACACTAAAAGGTCTCAAAGACATCAAAGCAGGAAGCTTTCAATGCAAAATTGCATGAGCTCTTTGTAGGTTGTTTGTTCATATTGGAGGAAAACTGTATAAACACGTGGTAAAATCATAATAAAAATTTGATGCCTTTCTTCCTTTGACCAAACAAAATAATGCCTGCTTTATTTAAATAAGCCTAGTTAATCCTCACACTGAGCAAATAATGGTTATTGTAATCTAACATTGTGATTCTTGGTCTGTTCATCTAGAAAAAAAATGACTGCTTTGCAAGATAAAGTGAGAAGGTTAAAAAAGCAATGTCATCAAACATGGATATTTTGTCCTTTCCTTAAAAGAATAGTTCAAAATTTTTAAATTGAGGTTTTATCATGTACTTGTGTGTAGTTAATGTCTTATCTGCAGTAGATAACTTTCATTAGATCGCCACAACATTTTTAATCCAAAAGTAAAACCATTTTAAAGTTTCATTCAACAGTTTTTGCCTGTGCCTCTATGACATTTATTAAAATGGATATGTTTTGTAAAGGTTTAATATGAGGACTTTACACTGACTCCAGACTGGAACATTTTAAGACTTTCTTAAAGAAGACCAGTTATGGTTATCAGCAAGCCCATGATGCTTCCATGTCTTCTCGTTCATTGTGGTCTACTTTAAGTTAATTGTAGGATATTTTATCTTGCTATGTTCCTTTATTAAATCGTGTTTTGTGTTGTTATAGGTCTATCTATATGTAGGTGATGTGTATTGCAAATTTGCTGAGGCTGCAAATGTGACAGTGATTGTTCACACTTTGCATGTGTCTGCATGCAAATAATAATGATAAACAATTAAGAAAGAAAAACAAGCTGAGATCTGATTTTGCTTTAGTCCTGCTCTGATTTTCAACAAGATGGAAAACTTATGGGTCAAATTAAAGTGAGAACATTCAGAAAGTTATTGATCGCAGATAAGACTCTTCACAACATATAGATAAAACCATCCCTGAAAAAATCAACCAACAAAATAATCATGTGGGAGGATGTTCTTAATTACAGACAAAATATATATATTCAGATCAAATAAAAGGACCGTTTAATAAGTAGATATTTTGTTTTTAGTCAGCTAATCAGGGAAAATTGAATCAGGATTTTCTTTATGAATCTTCTGCTGACCTCACTCTGCTTCCTTTTCTTGGTAAAGATGTAACGAATCAAAGCCTCCTGGAGAACTTCCTGTTTGACGAGGAAATGCCAAAGACGTCGTACTGGGAAGGACTGATGGCTTTTATTCCTGGAAACAATAATAGAGCAAGAAGAAAAAAGATCCAGTCAATTTTTTTCTATTAAAATTAGAATTTTCCAGCAATTTGTGAAACACTTGCCCTACACTGGTGATACTATCAGAATAGTAGTTTTTTTCCCCATAATTATGTCCAAACAAACAATCTGACTTTGATTTTCAAGCACTCACAGCGACCAATCATAAGTATACAACATAAAATGTAGGCAATTGTCCACAAATGTTATGTAATTGCACCAGAGTAAAGGGATCAGAGACTTGCAATTAAAAAAGAAAATTTTTTTTCAAATAATTCATCGAACCACATTGATGAATACACTAACTTGAAGGGCGTGTTGTCTGGCTCCAGCATGGCTTTGTGTCGCAGTATGGCGGGCCCAGAACCTGTGCTCAGGTCAGTGGGGTAGGTGTTGATGTAATTGGGAGGCGGACCTTCAAACTTGTTCATCCGCTCCAGTAAAAGTTGTTCCCAGTTCTCCAAAGTCTTCAACACTGCGTTGCTAAGAGGTGAAGTGACTGGTAGATCTGAGATCATAGCAAACAAAGAGAAAGGCTTAAATATATTTAGAACTGGCTGACATGTTGCATGTTGGGGTCCACATTCGATTTAAGTAGCTGCTTAGAAGTACAAAGCAGAGTACCTGTGAAGTCAAGTCCAGTGAGAGGGATAAAGTTCTTGACGTTGTGATGAGCCAGTTTGACCATAACCAGACGGATCAAAGCCCAGCTGAGTCCAAAAAAGAAACCAACAAAAACGGTAAGGCTTCACTCTGAAACACCGGCTCAAAAAAGAAAGTTATATCTAAGCAGGAGAAGATGGAGTCAACCTGTAGGAGTTGGAGTCCGAATGCTCCGTCATCTGTGTGTCTGAGAGGAAGGCATCATCGTCATCGTCGTCATCCTCAGCGCCACTTTCGTCTGAATCATACAAAGCGTTGCTCTCCGAGAGCGGGAGGAAAGGCTGAGAGGAATAAAGGTAAGGGAAGAAAAAAATAATGCTTGTTTTATATAACACGGAGGATGTGCGTCACACGAACCGCTTGTCAGTTTAATGTCTTACTTTTGCTACAAAGTAGTCCCACATGCTCAGCTCGGGGGGAATGAACTTCTCTCTGTAGGTGGGTCTCTCTGCAGGCACAGGAGGCGGGGTGGCGGGGGTCTCCTTCACCGGGCGTCCAGGAACCAGCATCCTCATGTTGAATCTGCGCCTGTATCGGTCCACGTCCTCCGCAGGCGGCTGAGGGGGGGCCGCTGGCATGTGAAGAAGCAACAAGGAGCTTAAGATATTTACGATTAACCTCAGAAAAGGAAAGCTATCGGGAGGCCGCGAGAAGAATGAGGATGAGCTTAGACTCAGCCTCATCTCCATTCCAGAAGCAGTTCAAAGCAGATCAGAAGGAGGAACACTGCATCCACACTCTATCAGGGGGCCTAAGCCACATGGACTTGGGAGTGAAAACTGCAAACAACGACCTTAATCATATCCGAAATACCAGGACTGGTTTTGTCTCTTTACCACCCAAATGAAAACTGAGCCATTTGGGAGAGGGTGACATGAAGACAAACACACAGACATTTAGGATGGAGACACAGGGCAAGACACTGTAGGGTATGCACAAACCTGCGCCATCATCCTGGGTGACAATCTCTGGCATTGCACCAGACAAAACAAGACAACACACAAACCAGAGTAGACAGTGCAGTTAGACACACAGATACCACACAGTTTATTACATAACTAAAAAAATAAGAAAAATAAATAACTAACAGGAAGTGATACTTAAAACACACAAACGACATCAAACACAGATGACACATTTGCTGAGTAGTCATAAACAAAGGATTGTCTTCAATCCACAGTGAGACAGATATAATTGTTTATTTTATTAAAAAGTGCTAAGGATGTCAATTAGGAGCTAAAAATAAATGTCGTTTCTGCACGGCTGAGTTTCTGCAGCATGAAGGTGAGACTGCAGCAAACCTCAAAAGGGCAGAGTTTCAACAAGACATCTCTTTCAACAGTCTGACATTTACGATCGTCTGAGCTCCAAACAAGCTCTTTAAAAGCCTCCTGGCCGCGCTGAGAGCTACATCAGACATGACACAGATGTGCCGTCCAAATGCCAGCTCCAATCTTCCCTCCACACAAAAACAGCTGGAGAGTTCAATACTATTAATGAACGGTGTTAAATTCTGTCCACAAACCTGGACTTATAACAGCATAAGTAGTGCAAGTGTGGATTAGGTTGCGTGATTATAGGTGCGACTTGTGCGAAATTCTGTTCCCCTATTCCTCTCTTAATGAACAAGAAATCCTTTGATTTTGGTACTATTTGCACATTATTTTCCAGAGTTATGAGGGGGGAACCATATATTTTAGCTTCCTGAAACAAATTGTTCTCCTGCCATGACATGGGACCTTATTATTTTTTCACAAACTCTTTAACTCTGTTTATTCCTCTCTTCATCAACAACAAATCCTGTGGATTCAGTGACATTTGATCATTTATTTGCCAAAGCTACTGGGGGAACCATATATTTTAACTTCCTGAAGGAAATCCGTTCCCCCTCTATAACATGGGAACAAATTAATTGACCAATTTACTGTGCTTATTTCTCTCATCATCAATAACTAATCCTGTGGATTTGGTTACATTTGATCATTTTTTGCCAAAGCTCCTGCCTTCCAGAACAGCCCTGCCCTCCAACTCCCCAATTCAGCTCCTTCAGACTAGCCAGTAGCAATTAGCAAACATGCTAATGGACATGCTTATCTGCTGAGCTAATCATACACAATACTTCTTAGTCCAGCACTCCTAAAAACGGTTGTGAGCGCAATAATGAGAAGCCCCTTTACGATTACGTACTGAAGGCAGAGTATTGGGAAGAGTGGGAGCTTCTTAAGAGAAAGAGGCCGATTTCAAAGTGTGAAACTGTTTGATATTTACAACAATTTGAAACAACTGTAATGCAGCTACTTGATTGTGCTCTAAAATGGCCTGGAAAATACATACGTGACTTTTGAGTTTTTGTCAACGCTTTTTTATTCTTTTCATTTTTTTCCCCCTTCACTTCACATGCACTCTTTTGTTTTGGTCTACAAGATAAAATCTCTTAACCCAACCAGGTGTTTAGTGGTAATGTGTCAAGATGTGGAAAAAGTTACAAGCCACAGCACATTCAGAATGAAATACAGCTATAAAACTAGTAGATGCCATTCTAGTATTCTAGATAACACATAGCTCTTTAGCCCTCTTCAAGAGTACCTGGTTTAGTCTCAGATTCAGATCTAGTCTGAGAGGACTGCTCAGCCTTGGCCACTGAACACTCCTGGCTAAGGGCAGCTGTTTAGTGACACAACAAAAATGAGCACAGAAGACATTACGACATGAACATGCGATGCTGCGTACGCACACAAATCCACTCACACCCTCACATGGTTGCCGCTTATCATAACAGTGAGCACAAATGTCTTCATAGCACTAATCAGCTCTAATGTTCTCGAAGGGCATTCAGCAGGAGCTTCATGAGAGAGAGAGGCAGGAGAGTCAGTCAAGCATCGGCAACAACGCAAACCTGTACAGTTACCATGCACCGCAATCCTGCAAACCAGCACTGCAATCTACCAGCCTCGTTACTCACAGCTGGCCTTAGTTGCTGGGGCCACAGTGCCCAGCCCCTCTCCCCTTGAAACAGGAGGAGGGGGTCGATTGGGGTGCTGGGTTTCAGTGAGGATGGGAGAGGGGTTTGAGGGGAGGTTGCTCTGCTCAGGTCTTCCTGTCTCCTGAGATTCCTCTGGACTGGCTGCCTCAAACTCAGTTGGCACTGGGACACAGGGCAGAGGGCACACTCACACAAGACACGACACACCAGTGGCAGCAGCAGTATCTTTGGAACATCATCAGGTCAGGGGTAGGTGAATAAAAATGATGGAGACAGACTCCAGAAGGATGGAGCGGTCGCCTCGGACGCAAGATGTAATCGGAGTTAATTGGGATGTGAATACTCAGAGCAAAGGGGCAAAGGGGGATGAAGACGACGTGAGGAGAGTGTGAATGCAAAACTGCACTTTTTTTTTTTTTTTACCTGGTGGAAGTTCAGGCCTCTTTGGCTTAATGATGACTTTTGCTCCTCCTCCGAAGACAGCCGCCCACATGCGATTGTTGAGGGGATGCGCGGCCAGGCGGAAGAGTTCATTGCTGTTGTGAGTGCCCAGGCCGTGGATAAGCAGCGAAAGATAAACAGCCACGACCGCCTCGCACAGCAGAACACTGAGCCTTGGCTGGTCCTCCTCCCTCGCAGACGTCAACAGGGAGATCAGGGACGACACACCTGCAGCGAGGGGGGACACGGTGCTTTTTTCTTTTCCAAAAAATTATTGACAAAGTCATATATAAAAAAGAAAAAAAAAACAGACACAATGAAGAGCTCTTTTATGAAACATTTGCATGATAAGTCTCTGTCTTTCTATTTCTTTCCTGGAGGCCATTGAGCTCCGATTATAGAACACCATCTGCCGCTCTGCATAAACACAGATTGTCTGCTTTGCTTCCCCCGCCCCCTGCACACACACACCTCCCTCTGCTGTTCACATTTCATCCAAGTCATCCCTTTGGTGCTTTCATATATGCTACTTCCTCATCCAGCTCACAGGATGAGGAAGGATTCTGGAAAATTATTATAGTCTCCGTCAGTCATCTTTTTTGCTCCATGTAGAGCAGGGCTTTTCGAAGTGTGGGGCGCCAGAGCTCTACAGGGGGAATGAGCAAAGTAACTGCAGGTATTTAACCAATTTCCACCAATCCCATGAGTCTGTTCATTCACCCAGCTACCAGTGGCGCCATTCTGGCTGTGCTTGGCTGAAGTGAACCTGTCTGGCTTTCACATCCCAAAACTCAATAAAACCTGATTTGGAATTTCAAAATTTAGCGGCTTTGTTGAAGGTTTCTAATTTTACCATTAGTGAAATTTGACTTTTTTTTTTTTTTATAAGTTTGTGATACAACTATTTAAAATTCTGAAATAGGACACATGCTTATTTTGTGTTAATGTTTCAATTCAGCTAATCTGCCCTTGACTTGTTCATTAATGTTTGTGGTGTTTTTGGCATCTTTTGAAATGTTGATGTTTCGGTGGAATGGTTTCTGTCATTGGTGTATCTTTGTCTAAACATACAATGTCCATTTATTAATTTATCCATTTAAAAATGTATAAATGAATCATTCAAAATGAATAAATGAATATAATAAAATGTGTAAAATGTTCTTCGGTACATTTTGCAGCTTAAGTCAACAAATCTAAAGCAGGCAGACCCCACAACATCAGTGAAATATGCGTGAATGGCACATTAAGCACAGGAACAGCAAAATGTTTACAGAAATAATCGCAGTAATGTAGCTGTGGGACGCAGGCTTTGATTTCCTCCCTAAGGGCAGAGTAGATCTCCTAAATGTTGAAAACCCTAAGAAGAGTGTCTGGTTACCAGGCCACTGCGCAGGAGCAGAGTTCGGAGTAACATGTTCTTCAATGCTTTCTGTGCGAAGCCGCTTCCTTTCACTTAGCAGCAGCCCCTGGTACACCATCCCTGTGAACTGGTTGGCTTCTGTTTGACTGCTGAGAGGAGAAAAACAGAGAAAAGTGTTTATTTTCACCTTGTGGGAGGTTAAATCCAGTCTCTCACTGAATAATGGACCATTGATTACCTGTAACTGTGACTGTCACATAGGGCTTGGTAGACACAGGCAGAAAGAGACGCTGCTAGCGTGTGAAGCGCATTTACCTGAGGATGAAAGAACAGTTACCATATTATGAAAATGAACAACAAATACAAGGAAAAGCTTCACACCAACTCCAGCAGCATTTTCCTTAAAAAGAACATTTTTTGGCAGAACATTGGGTTGCGTTCAAACTCAGGCACACATGAATTGACAAGAATCTTGCAACTTGTTCTCGGTTTTAAGCATCAGTGACATTTGGTACTGGTGGTGCCAAATGTTTTCCAAGCTGCTCGCAAACTTCTGCCATAAAATATGAATAGAGATGAAGAGAAAAAAAAACACTGCTCCAGTTTTCAGTGCTTCAAGGAGCAGATAAAAAAAAATCTACTTAGTTACGACACAGAGTTTGTGTAAGTTAGCATATTTGGTAACACTTTATTTGACGGGTTGTGAATAAGGCTGTCATGTCGTAAACATGACATAACATCTGTCATGAACATGAGTAAGTTTTTATGAATATTTATGACTTGCCATAAAGTGTCATTCGGTATATTATGACATTTTTAATGCAAAATTCACATTATTCAAAATGTCTGTTATGACAACCTGACATTAACTAAGAAAGTATTACTGATTAAACTTTAGCTTTAATAAAATAAAGCTATATAATTTTTACATTTCAATCAGTAATACTTTTATAACAAATTCACGTCAGATTATGATTTTAATCCCCGCAAGTCTCAAATATAAAAATTCTCGTTTTTGAGTCCTGACCCGATCGTCGATGATGTCCGGATGTGGCGGAGCCTCCAACATCGTGATGGTGTAGAGGATGTCGTGTATGTGGTTGCTGAGGTGGAGAACGGGATTGGCTATGACCGTCTTGGTGGGGGCGATGCACGCTGACAGCAGAGGCAGGGTTGTAGGCAGAGGCAGAGGGGACTGCAGTTGCTTCACTGTGGTCTCCTGCACAAACACAGAGGAAGCGTTCAGATCTGTGCCAAACATTCAAACAGTAAAGGATGGGTGAATGGCAGCATGGAGTGCACCTGCTGGCTCTCCTGCAGGAGGAAGAGAAGCTCCATACGGACGGAGGTGACCCCTCCTCCTTTGGCTCCATGAAGGCTGCAGTACGACAGGAAGACCCTCAGCAGGGCCTGGTTCTTCCTCAGCCAGGCTTTACGCCTCTCAGAGTGCTGCTGCTTGGCTTGAAGACGACGTCGCTCCATCTGGTGACGCTCGTAAGCCCCGGCCTCCATGTTCTCCAGCGCCTCGTCTGAAATGTCCACAGACGCTGTACGATCCCTCTCGACTTCTGGGCCTTCCTCTTTTCCCTCCACCTGTGTATTTTAACCAATAAGTACAGAGAATAATTAAATCAGAAAGGACGGCCAACGCTTTCTGATCTCCCCACATGAGTTCATTTTCTTGGAGTTTACTTTGTAGTTGCAGATCTTGTGCATTGCTGCAATCTCCTTCTCCAACCAGCTGTAGAGCTGAAAGCGGAGCTTCCCTCCATCGACCTCGAAACCCGTGGCCAGCGTTCGCAGCTCGGTCATCAGGATCTTCAAACACGCACGAAACTTCAGTTGCTCTGCAATCACATCCACTTCGGACTCACCCTAAAAATTAGAAAAACTGAGTGTTTATAGGGTTTAAAAACTACATATATGAAAAGTCATAAAGAACAAATCTTGCTATTAACTGTTTGCAAGTAAAATACAAACATTTCAACTCTGATACAATACATGACTGTTCACCGGATTAAAAAAGACAGTGTTTTTTTTTCAGTGCTAAGGAGGTTCTTGACATGAAAAAAAATAAAAAAAAACTTTTACAGACATTTCTAGAGGATCCTCAGAATTTCAAAGGAAATTTATGCTGAACTCTGAACCATAAATTAATATTATTTTGTTTGTAGTGAGAAGCTTTCTTTCATTTAAAATTTCACAGCATTTACTTATATTGTGAAATGGGTAAAAGTCTTACAGTCCTTTTCATCTTGTTCCAATTTTTTAACCTGTGTGAGACTTATCATAGATCTCTTTAAAAGCATTGGCCAAACCACATATTATGTCCTCAGCTAGCCTTTTATTAGATACTGGCCTTTTATTTTATTTATAAGTAAAATAAAGAAAGATTTCAAAAGTGTACCCTTTTGGTGAAATTGTGGAAAATTAGAGGCAAACACTGAAGACATTTGCATTATGTGTATGATTGTTGTATATGTAGCATTTTGTTCAAACTGATTATGAATAAGAAAGATATAAATATTAAAGTGAAAACAAAAATAAATAAAGACAGATCTCATCTGTGATTTGAGCTGTTTTTAATAGATATGTATATACCTGCGAGTCTTCTCTTTGCAGTTTGGGACCATCATTCTTTGAGCCTTTGTCCTCAATCTCTGGTTTCTTCATGGTTAAGCCATCTTCATCCTCATCTTCATCATCTTCCTTGTCATTGCCCCAGTCGAGCTGCAGCTCGTCTTCCTCCACCTTGATAACAGGCTGGCTCCAGTCCAGCCCACCAACGCTATCGTTGGCTCCCCAGGCAGGAGCCGGGGCTGCAGAGGAGCCCCAGTCCAAACCGCCTTGGGTGCCATTTTCTAACGGCTGGCTCACATTCACATTTGCCTTCGACGGAGCTTTGCTGGGAGACGAGGAGCCAGATTTCCGGCTTACTTTGGGAATCTTGGAGAGCACTTCCAGAGCCAAAACCGGGCAACCCACCTACGGAAGAAAATAAAACACGGTAAACAGATTAACCTCACATAATTACGACAAATCAAAGATAAAAGACATCTACTGGATTGGTAACCATTTCAGAACTGAGCTTACTTTAAAGTGTGCATTGGCAGTAGTGAAGAACAGTTTGCGTTCTATAAGGTTGATCTCATCTGCACTGCTTTTCTCAGCAGTAAGGCCCACATTTGTCACTGTGCCTTCTGGATTCGCAAAATGCCGACGGATGATCAAAGGATGTGTCCTTAAGTAGTTATAGAAACTAAACACAACAGGGTTGCAAGACTTCACCATCACATCTGATGCACAAGAGGGAAGAGAAAGAGATGAAGAATAAAGATTGCATACAACAAAAATCATGATGAAAGCAAGTAAGGCTCATTTTATCCCCAGGTTTTCTGCTTACCTGGATTCTCCTCTTCTTTTGGGTTTCTCTCCAATAGTGTGTCCAGGGCTCGGGTGTAATCTTTCATGATCCAGTAGGCTATGCTGCGAAGGAACGGGTCTGGATGCAGTCTGGAGCAGTGATAAGCGCTCCCGTCCCGGTTGCAGCCCAGAACCTTCTCGTACAGCAGGCCTTGGCAGGTGGACGAATTCTCAAAGTCGGCTTCGTACAACCTCGCTACTATCATGGCTAACTGGAGATCCTCCATCTTCTCCATCAACACCTGCACATCATGAAGGAGCGTTCAATCTACAGTACAACTAAACTTTATATGAAAGGTAAAATAACAAGACAACATGAAACATTTTCAAATGGCTGAACTCATAATACTCAGGTATTCTGATTGATAATAGAGCAAAAGCTAATAGAGCTAAAAGTTTGAGGGTTCTTACAATTGTTCTTAACACATTCTAGATTAGATCCTGTAATTTATGACAAGGCATATCTTCACTTCACAAATTAACTCAATAAATGCAGAGTTAAGCTGAAGTAGTAACCAAAAACAAATGACAACAGCCTTTTTGCACTTTGTTTTGAAAGTTTAATCGTAAATATGTTTGTAATTCATAAACTCCTGTGATCAAACTGGACAAAAAAGTTATGATTAGCATTACCTGAAACACAGATCAACATCTTAACATAAATTTATTTTATGTTCATTTTATTTTGCTAGAATGCCATTATTTTGTCTTTGCAGAATAAGAAAAAGTATAGAAACTCAAACTTTTCTCCAAAAACGAGATGTAATTTTTTCATACTAATAACAGGTTATGTAGAAGCCCTGTTATTTTGTTGCTGTGAAAATCCAACAGAGCTCGCCGAGCTCTGTTGGATGTAATTTGCATGTAGTCCTTCTAGATTTCCTTCACTTGGTCATTCTTGTCTCACTTTACCTTGAGTTAGAAGCACATAATGCTCAAAGTTGCTTTCTTGTTATTTTCTATCTGTATGTTTTGACTGTGTGGCTGTAAACTTCATGCCAAAGTAAAATGTGCACGATTGTTATTAATTTTATCAGCGTTAAGTGTTTACTCAAAGGCTGCTCTCAGCAACATACATTATTATTCTGCTTCATGCAGAAATTTAAATTCCATAGATTTTCATTTCTTTCATTTTACTGCCACTGTGAGGGAAATGAAAAGAGAGACCAAGAGAAGACTCAGAAGTAATAAGCTGTGCCTGGGTATCTATGTGTGTAAATCAGGAAGTGTGTGTGTGTATTTCTCCTCACCTCTATTGCGTCTTTAAGGGAGCCAGCTAATAGGAAAAAAGCAGCAGACTGCTCAAAGCGCTGCTTTCCCAGCAGGGAGAAAGCGTTCTTTAGAGCTGCTTTTCGCCAGCGGTCCTCAGTGAAGTTGTTTTTGAAGAATTGAGTCATTTTCTCATCATGCTGAGACCTGAGAGATGGAAATGAGACTGTTGAATATCTCAATGAGGTTTAAAAATACACTGGAAACAAACATACAATACACAGAGTAGCAGCGTATCCTGTGTCATGATCCTACCGGAACAGACCCCACAGAACAGCTTTTTTCTTCATGGCCAAGTAGAACAGCGCAGCATCCAAAGGGTCGCTGTTCCTCTGGAACGCAGCTTTGCCCAGCTGATGTCACACAGAACAGTTCAGTTATTTGGTTTACTCTAACCTGATACGTCACAAGAGCAAATATACTCAATATATGCTGAGAAAATGTCGATAGTAGTTAATCATCAAGCAAAGTGCTACCATAAATATGTAGATAAAACAAAAAATGAATTACAAATTTTTCTCAATAAAAATCACTGGTTCTTTTACACTTTCATTCTAGATTTTAGAATGTATTCAGACTCATTTTTTATTTTTATCGGTACCTTCTCCACCATCTTCCGCAGCGTGTTGATGTTGCGTATCCACCATCCCACTCCCACGGCTCTCAGCTCAGACCACTGTGGGTCGCCTCTCTGCATGGCAGGAATCATGTTCAGCAGCTCCTCCTCCGCCTCAGAGTGGAAGGCCCATGCAAAGTGGCACGTGGAAAGGCCTGGCATGGAGATGGATGGAGGGATGGAGAGAAGAGAGAAGCATGATTGGCTTGAATTGAATTTGGACAGAAACAGATTTAATAAAAGTGAAACATGAACCTGAGACAGTCTTGTAAAATGCCTTGAAATGACATGAGGCTAAAGCATATCATCAAAGAGGTTCAATTTATTTCAGGAATTTAATAGATATAGTTAAACTTGTGTTTATCATACAGAATGCATACAGCTGTCAGCTAATTAAAACCCAGAAACTAAGATTTGAATGTCGCACAGAGGCAATAATAGGGGTATTGGTACAGACATAAAAATTATGTCATGAGACAGTTTACAAGATTGACAGCAGAAGGTCAGTAACACCCTCTACAAAGTGGATAATTAATAAAGGGTAACTGCTTATGAAATATATAACATTTCACTGAGCCATCTCCTCCTAATATACATAAATGTTGGAATTAAAGACTTTCCAAATAGGTTATACAGATTGAACCATGTAGAAGCTGCAGCAGATTGGAGACATAAAACATGTGTGGACTTGACTGCAACTAGTAGCACTTTTCTTCATTTAAATGAGTAAAACTTCATTAACTTCATCCACACACAGTTCACACACACAGATGCATAAATCACTCTTAATACTTTTTTGTGCTCAATATAATGAAACCTATTTGATTTTGACAAAAAGGTGATTTTACAAAAAAAGTTTTTTTTTTACCCTGGTGAAGCAACTGCATACGATACAGAGGAGGCAAAGACGTGAGCAGGCAGGTATGAAGACGCATGGCGAGCAGGTACCTCAGTCCACACTCATCAAGAGCCTCGCCACCTAAACAAACAGAAAAAAATTAGTACTTCCAATTAACAGCTACAGAATAAATGCAAAAAAGCACCTCCTGTAATATATCAGTTCATGCAATCCTGTCAAAGAAAATATCTTTCCTGACCCTGAACCTTCTTCTGTGATTACTCTGCCCTTGAACAACCTGCTTATGTCTTCCTCTCAAAAGACTAAATAAACAAGAGGGAAAATTGAAGAAGAAGAAAAAAATACAATGATAATAAAAAAGTATGGAGGAACAGTTCAGGCACTTTTTGCTGATTTGGTCATTGAAGATTTGATGATTGGAGATTAAAGACACGCTGGAACACACAATCAAAACAGCATGTTTGTCTTACACGCTTATAACCTTTATTCAACTTTTAAGGAGTAAGGCTCTTACAAAGGTTAATAAGTACAGTGATGGTAGACAAAAAGGCAGGGCAACACACCACATATTGATTGATTTGTCGTTTCAGAGGCATCCATGATCTTAAATGCAAGCTGCATATTTCTACATATGAAAATATGGGCTATAATGGAGGAAAGGCACAGTGTATTGTTAGGTTTTAAAAATTGTTGAAACTGAACGCTGTTAAAAATTTAATGATAGTGATCCAAGAACAATTTTAAGAAATACATTTCTTATAATCTCAAAGTCAATCAGTACTGAAAAGCTAAAAACTTACTTACTCTGGAGATTTTCAGGTTAAGTTGTTTTTCGACATAAGCATGTCAATCAAGTTGCTCCAACAAAGAGAAATTACAGTACAAAACACAAGAGCTAAGAGGTTTTCTTTTATTCTTTTCAGTCTTTGTTGCTGCCCATGCTGGATAAGTAAATGTTTCTAGGGTTTAAAAAAAATTGAGTCAAGATAAGAGTTTTCATTCTTTGAGGAATAAACACTAGGATTGTTTTTAGTGTTTAGTAATGATAATAGCAAATATACGTTTTTAAAGTCAGATCACATCGTGTTAAAAAGAAGCTTGTTTTACAGCTCGTTCTCACACAGTGTGACATCGCCTGTGGTATTAATATAATAAATACTCAATGAGAAGAATCAATCCAGGAGCAGAACATCTGTTGCTGTTGGGGAGATAGCATTAGAATTACCATCTGATCTTTGACTTTTTCTATGAAACTGGAGTAGAATAAACAAGTTTCTACTTTAAATGTGTTTATTCTACTTTAAGTGTAGAATAAACAGAATGCTCACTCATATTGATCCGTTAAGATACAAAACTAGAGACAGCAGTGGATACAGGTAAACACAAAGCCTCCAGTAACCTGTGTACTGTTGGTCAGCGGAGCTCGTAACTTCAGCACTTGTGGTAGCGATTGTATCGGCCAAGGCCACCAAAAACATCTGTTCCAGCCTGGTGAGTCCTGGGAGGCTCGAGTGCATGAGGTGGCTGGATAACACCTGGAAACAAACAAAAAAGAAAAAGAAAACAACTGAAACACAGAATTGAAAAATATATTTTTTTCCTTTTTGTGCAGAGAAGGAAAATGTTGAACAAGTTAAGTTGTTCCCCACAACTTAACTTGTTCAGCAATAAAATTATGAGATATCAAAATGAAGTACTAACATGTCAAAATGTGCTTAATTCTCTTTATTACTGTATTGTTTTCTCTACGTTTATTCACAATAGTAAAAAAAAAAAAAACTCTGTACAGAAATTGCAAGGTCAATAAAATGAGCAATTACCTGAGCATGCTCCGGTCCAAAATAAGAGGGTGAGACTGAGAGATGATGACTTCCTCTCTTCCTCAGACAAAGTCATCAGTAGTAACTGTTGGCACCTGTTTCAACATTCAGGAAACAGTTGTAGTTACTTACAGATCTAAATGCACGTTCAGTAAAGGGACAGTAATTCTGATAGCTCACCTGGAAGAGATCGGCATACTGGTCTTCTGAGGATTTTTGAGTTGCATCACCGTCAACAACCTTTGCCGTTTTGGCGCTTTCTTCCGCTCCCTTGAATGAGGTGTCGAGGTCGGCCAACATCAAGGCGTAGAGGGGCAGTGGAGGGATGGAGTTGATCTCCGTGTAATCCCTCCCTCCGTCTCGGCCGGCCACAATGGTGTCCTTTGCCGTGCTTCCGGTCACACTGATTGTTCGAGAGAGATGCCTCCTGGATCCGCCTTCACCTGCCTCCACATCCCTGACCACAGCGACTTCTCCAGCTATGCACTTCACCAGATGGGCAAGTATGGCCTGACCAAATTACGACATACGCTTTAGATTTTAAGTGCGGTAGCTATTTCTGAACATTCATTTTCGAGCGGAAAGGGACCCACCTTGGCCCGTCGGACCTTTCCCAAGTCCATGAGTTCCAGCAGCTGTGTTGGGTGGTACTGCGGCAGAGTGGGGGAGAGAGAATGAGCTGCCTCAAACAGTCCACCTTCCTGTAGTCCTGCGGGGGCGCGGAGCGCCTCATCCACTCCAGTGCTCCCTTCAAACACACTCTTGGACCTGGCTCTCCCTTCAAAGACGGAGGAGGTAACTACGCTCTGACCTCCGGCGATGTCTGCGGATGACAGGTTGCCCTCTTCTCCTTCACCGGGCTTCTTGTCCTGGTGCCACTGGGCGTACACGTGCATTTCACAGTCCATACCCACCACCAGGATGCCGTCCCTCACCCAGGACAGGGAGACCGGCAGCGAAGGCGTTCCGTCCACGGACGACAGGAGGTCAATGGCGCGAAGCAGGATCCAGCGTGAACGGATGCCCTGTTTGATACTGCCCCCTAGAGGAAGGGTGATTACTGCCACCCCCTCTTTGCTGCTGGTCTGTTCATTGACCATGCCAGAGATGCGGCCGTACATAAGGATGTTAGAGCCCACCCCAATTGTGAGAATGTGGGAGCCGTCCTCCTTCGATAGCCAGTCCAGGTGGACGAAGTGCTTGATGTTGGGCGAGCTATGGTCTCTGGTCATGTACAAATCAGACCTGAAGGGTAAACAAATAACAAACCACGTCCGTAAGATACAGAAAGTTTCAAATAATAAAAAGTAAATGATTCCATTCTGACCTGCTGTAGACAAAAAGGTTGGAGTCTACACTGACTCTTGGATCCAGTGTTGAAGAAGGTCTGACAAAGTCATCAAGGTGAACAGTTTGCTCTAAAACCCATTCAGAGCCTCCAGTGGATTCACACTCATAGATGGAAACGTGCATGGAGAAATCTTCCACAGAGTTGTGCAGCTGAAGACAAAAAGGACACCCTGTGAGAATCCTGCTTGAGAAAAAGTAAATGTCCTGCAGACAATCGTGACTAATTAACTATTGAAATAATTATTACTATAAAATACATAGTTCTCATATCCTACCAGTCCTTGCCGTGGCTGCTTAAAGGCCACGGCTAGCCGACCGATGTAGGAGCAGGAAACGCCGACAGGCCGTCCCGACACAGACACTGCGCTATTGTTGTCCTCCTCCTCGTTCATGAGCACCCAGGGTTCCCAGCGGTACACCGGGTTGTCAGTGCCGTCTCCATCGTCGCCCTCCACAGCGCAGCGCCAGAAGCGCACGTGAGAATCAGAGCAGGTGGTAACGATCAGGTACGGAGCCAGACACACAGGGTAGATGGAGGAGGAGCTTAGGTGACCTGGAAGAAGGAGCAGCGAGAAGAAAATGTATGAAATGTTTAATCTGACTACCAAAATTCATCTGATGTCTGGGAGCATGCTTCACCAAATGATCCATGACATAGGAAAAGTTCAAATCTAATTGAGTAATATTAAAAAAAGGTGAACAATTTTATAATACTGTCATATAAGGCAGATAAATATTAATTTTGGCCAACCTGCAGATGGCGTTGCCCTGGTAACTTCCACCCCATGCGGTAAGTCCAGTCGCTTGCTGCACACAAGCTTGGAGCTGAGGATAAGTTTGCTTGCTGATTGCAAGTTGGCTGAAGAAGCAGATCGAGGCAGGGGTCTGATTGGAGAGGTCTCCGGGGACGAGTCGAGATTCGCGACCTGACTGGGAACCAGGAGCTGGCTCTGGAAGCTAAATGGTTGGCTGGGCTCATCTGGAAAGATTTACATAGATTTCTGGCCTATAACTCAGTAGAAGGAAATCAATATGATTTTCTTTAATGTTAATAGTATCCAAAATAAATCTGATTTCTATCTTTGGCTGCAAAGCTGGACTTACCAACGCAGGCCTGCACAGATTGGAGGTGCAGGTGCCACATCTGCAGCACAGAGTTCCCATTAAGATCCTTCTCTATTACCACCAAGAAGAACTTCTCAGAAAATGGGGCAGGTTGGTAATCTGCATGCACAGACAAAAAAAGCGTATTTAATGACCGAGTTGACAGAAGGAAAACATCCCAGTTAAATTTGCAGTTGCCCTCTACCTTCTCCAGTCGAGAAGGCTGGTGTGAAAGCCTCTGATTCGTTCTGAGGTTTGTAACCTAAGATGAAATCCTCTTGAAAGACATGAAGCAGCTGGGTGTTGGAGCCGCACTGGATGCACAGAGACGTGGGATCAGAAAGGTTAACAAGGACTTCACGGAACTCCTGCACAACGCTGATGTGAGCTGCGTGTGAAAGCAGAGCTGCTAACCTGGTTTGTAATGACATCCAACTCAATGATACAGCCAGGTCTGGCTGTGGACTGCTGACTGACAATGTTGAACACTTCGCCCACCAGTTTCTGAACAGAAATATGCATGAGCATTTGGTAATTACCCGTGAACTCCACTAATTATTATGCTTAGCATGAATTAGGCGTAGAGGGTTTTAAAGACGTAAAGCATGTTTTTTTAGTCTTTGAAAAAAAATATGAGAAAGATGAGAAAAACAAAAATCCAGATCCCTTAGCTTTACAGTAAAGAAAAGGTTTTATATGTTCAAGAGAGAAATAACATATTTACAATGAGCACCAATGAATGTGTTCACTCACAGATGTTTCTGGATCTGACAGCTCATCCAGTAGTTTTCTTGCATCCACAACAGCTTGATAGAGACGCAGGTTTTTACCATCTGATGCCACAAAGCAGGCGCTGGCACTGTTACAGTACGTTCCTGGCAGAAACAACACCGTTTATAGCTCAAGTAATGTTATAACCACATTACAGACTCATAATAACGCCTAAATTCGAAATAATATCAAATTAATTCATTATTATGTGCTGATAATATATTTCAAGTGAGAAGAATCGTGTGAGGTGATACAAGGCACTCTCAAGTAGCTATGATACGTAGCTAGAATGTCCTTTGTTCAAGCATATCATCTTAATATAATTAAACTCTTGTCAAACGCAATTCTGACATTTCAGGTAAATAAAAACTTGGATTTTAATATGACAAGAAGAAAAAAAAACATAATAGTTCCAGTTGCAAATGCAACAGTGTGATCTTTTTTCAGCCAGTGAATGTACTATGCCAAGTACAAGTTGTGCTGCTACTGAAAAAAATAACACTGAAGCATTTCAAAATGTAATCATGGGAAACAAAGATGCAATGAGCTGTTTGAAAGAGAAACTATGTTGCGCATAGAAAGACATTCTGAGATTAATTCAGACTTCAGGAGAAAAGTCAGTGAAACTTTCAGCTGAAAGGAGCAAACACTGATGTTTAAGCGTTACGCCTGTTTATGCTAGATTTGGAAATGTTGGCATTATGCTGGAAATGTCTGGGATCTCTTCTTCAATAAACACAGATCTAATCATGCAACGTTTAACTTTGTAACAATTCTATTTTGACATAAGCTTAATGACGGATGAACTTTAAGAGAAGTGTAATGGCTACTGACATCCACCAAAATAAAATTTCACATTAAGCTATTATTTGAATAAGTTTATACTTCTCCCTATAAACATAACACTCATCTGTTACACAGTAAATAATGTAAAATTATTGAAGCCATTTTATTTACCATGTACCATTATATATTTCTTGCTTCTTTAACTCTTGTTTTTCGTGTTAGAAATAAACTCATACACTAGAACAGACCAATTGGTCTGTTTAAAGTTAAAAAAACAGATTGTTGATTAGGGCAAACCCAATTACAATGATGATGATATATTCACAATTTATCATCATTCAGCCTTAAATGAAGCTCTTACCCAGTACTGTGCTGGGTACCAGTGTAGGCAGCCAAGCCACGTTGCTGAAGGCAGACGTGTGCAGAGAGTTGATGCGGGCCAGTTCAGAGACCCCTCCAGTGCAGGACAGGGGTCCGATGTGGTCCACTCGCCACAAAATCAGCTCACTGTAAATGGCGTTTGGGTCGTGGAAAGTCCTTGTAGCTGCATTACGAAGCTGCTTCCTGTCGGTGCAAATGGAAAAGGTGAAATCTTATTTCAAGTAGACCGGCAGTTTAATCATTATAATCCTCATTCAGGATGTGTTGCAGCGAGCAAGTTCTGACATTTTTACAATAAGCTTCCAATTCAATTTTTTGTTACATTATTCTTGAAAAAAGCTGCATTTGTAAACACATACAAACACTAAGAGATGTGTGAATTTTCCAAACAAAGTAAATTGCCCATCAGGCTCTGGCCAGCCACAGCCTTGATCTGACACAAAAAAGCTATCCATTTCTTATCATGTAGAACGCTTCTCTGAGTGCAGGATGGATTTTCTTTTGCCATTTTTAGGCAACTTGAGTAGCAGTATCGATTAGTCTACGTGCTGGAAGCAAAAGCAGCAGTAAACAAAACTCTCCACTTCTGATCTGAAGGACACAGCAATGATTGTGGGCGTCGCTCTCATTACGTAAGAAGACCATGAGTTACAGAAGAAAATGCTTCATTTTCAGATTGATATCAAAATTTTTAGCAGTCTATTTTCTCTCTTAACCTGACAAATAACGGATTTGTTGTCTGCATTATTTGTCTGTTCTGTACCTGGGAAGTCCTTTTGGTGGAGGAAAGGACTGGAGCTGCTCCCCTTCTAAACTGCTGGGGGCAGAGGGAGGGGTGAGCAGCGCGTTGTGGTGGGAGGAGGTGAGCAGAAGCGGCAGCACGGTGTGACAGGCCTGGTCGTTTAGGTGGAAACGGTGGCCGCAGTACCGAATCTTGTGAGAAACAGTCAAGACGTTGGAGAAGCCGGACCGCTCAGCAAATGTCACCGCCCACTGTAGTAAAAGAGAACGAAGACAGCTTGTGAGGAAAAATATGAAGTATTCGCAAATCTGCTCAGTCGGATGTTACAACTTAGGAGGACATTATGTAAAGTATAAAAGATGTCATGTGAGAAATAACACGCTTGTACCTGGTTGAGAGATCCGTCGACGTGCTTCGAGACCATCATGACTGCAGGGCTAATGCCAGGGCGAAGTTTTGGTGAGGGGGAGACAGCGGTGGATCCCAGGCCGGTGGATATGGATGCTGAGCGGGACATACGCTGGATCATTCTTCCTTGTTCGCCGGTCCCGGCGCTCTCGCCCTCAGTCAAAGTGCAGGCATACATCAGGATGTTTTTACTTAGGGAGTTAGCATCACCCGTAGGAAATGCTACTGGAATGCGGGAGGAGAAGGAGACCTGGCGAAGATTTGAGGACGAAAAAGAAATAGTTAATAGAGATTTTTTTTTCTTTTTATGACTGTAATCAAATTGATACTTCCAAAACGCTCTGTTGTATTCTGTACAGCTGGATAAAAGCTCTTCTGCCTCTTAAATTCATTGACTACGAACACTGGAAGCAGAATTAGTTGTATTTTTCTTCAATGTGTTTTTCAAAACTAAGTTTTTTGTGTGTTTAGAAACCCCACAGTGGAAACCCATTTTCCAAATTTTTTTTTTATGTTGCTCTACATTTGTTGCTCTCCAACTATCTTATTGCAGGGCTAGTTTCTTAAAACTGATGCTCTTTAGCTATTAACCTCTGTCTAAATATTCATAGCTAATTTTCTTGCTTACCTGAACTTGTCTGAAAATCCCCTGGTTGAATTCATCCAAGTACTTCACATGCCAAACCAAGAAAGAACCATCAGTGGGGTGTATCGTGAACAACATGTCTGGACTCTTGTTCCACTCTATGGACAAAGTCTCCATCTTCCTTTCCAGCAGCATGGACGGTAACGGCATGCTGGAGCTGGATCCAGGGGAGGACGCCTTAGTACTTCCTTGTTCCCCTGAATCCCCCTCTTCTCCGTGTTCTGATGACGCTTTGTCAGACATCTCGTCTAGGTCTAAGAAGACAAATAAAACATATTTTATTCACCACTTGATGGTGAATAAACAATTTTAAACAATTCTAAACAATTTTAGGATTGTTTAGAAAGTCATTGGAGGAACTGAAAGTGAACCATACCAAAATCAAACTTCATAGGGGATCCCTCAGCGTCGAGAGGCTCGTCAGTAGTCTGGTCCAGGTGCTGCTCAGAGAACTTGCGGAGCTGCGTCATAAAGAGATCCATTGATGAAGTGAAACTGAGGTCCTTGTTGTTAAGCCAGTGAACCACAAAGCCTCCACCACCAGTGCTGTCTTCAGGGTTGAATACTGAGGAGTCAGCCAGCGTTGAGGGGATGTCTAAAAAGGAGCAGAGGGAGCAAGAAAGAAACTGTGGTAAAGATGAAAACTCTGTATGAGGGTGAAAGCATCTAAACAAAAGGAAACCTACCTGTATTTGGGTTAATACTGGCAGAAATGTGAAAGTGACACAGGGCGTTGGCATGGTGAGCAATGTGGCGGTGAGTGTGAGCGTCTTGTGTGCCCAGCTGAGAGGGCAGCAGGTCACTGTGGGCCACCAGAGCAGAGGACCGCCGCCGGCCCCGGCGCAACTGTTTCAGGTGGTGGATTGACTAAGCAAGCAAAGTTCAGAAACAAAAACGATGAGAAATGCAAATATCTGTAGCAGTTTTAAAATTAACGCCTTTCGGCAGAACATACCTCTAAAGCATGCTGGATTTTGTCCTTATTTCCTCCCAAACCTGGGAGGCTGGAGCTGAAAGTGTGTGTGTTCTCAGTGATCTGCCCACCGAGCAGACTGTCTTCGGGTAGTAGGGTCTCTGACCATAACCTGCACACACCATCCTCGCAGGACGTGAGCAAGACATTGCAAACCGTTCCCCTAAAAATCAAAAACAAATCAAATGTTTGTGATTCATTCACTAAAACTTTCTGAACCGCTATAGAGATGCAAAGACGTCAAGACAATCATTGTAAACCCAGATAGAGTCATATTTAAGCAATATGACTATCAGCCCTGGTTTTTAAACTATTGCTGGCCTCCAATTGATTAAGTCCAGTTTCAAATCAAAAATACTTTGACTGATCAAGTCTTTACAGCATATTTTGGCACCAGGTAAATATTAGCTGAAACACAGATCAAAAATTTTTTGTGTTTTTTTAATGGTATAAGGATTTCTGTCAGAAATTGCACTAAAAATATGATCTTTTGGGGGGAGCAGATTAATCGTGATCAAAGATTAAAGAGGCTGGATCCAATTAAACCTTAGATGAGATAAAAACTTCATTAAAATTTGAAAATATATATGCATATTTTCAATTGTCAAACAAATCAATGCGGGAAACGTCTCGCGTGCAACAACACAGTATGATCGAGCTCTTCAGAATGCCTTTGCTTCTGCCGGAGCTATTTAAAGCCAGCTCTGAATTATCCTGGGATTCGGATGCTGTCTGAAACACAACTCCCTGAGAGACAGTTTAACTATGTTTTCATTTTGGATTTTAGTAGGCCAAGGAAGAAGCGCTATATTGCTGGTTATTAGCAATCCCTGTGAGGACACCGTGTAAGAATGTTTTTTTTCCTGCTACCTGGAGAAGATTTTCCAGTGGCTTCATGCAATTGCCACTATGTGACTTTTATAAAACAAGGCACTTTAGTAAATCATCTTTAAGCTATGAGGCAGAGCTAAATATTTAGTTGTGATTGTTAATTTAGGGTTAGGCCCAGCATGTGTTCTGGAAAACGAATCATGCATAAAAAAGATGAACTGACATAGTTTTCAGAACATTATAAATAAAAAAAACAGTTTGGTAAAGATTGTAGGCAAAACCATTAATGTTAACATTTTTATGACAGTCTGTTTAAACAGCTAAAAAGATTGCACTTATTGCATGCATTGGTCACAATAAAAGAAATAAAAAAGAGGTTATTTTCACTAGAATCCTGTCTTTTCTTACTTGGGCATGTATTTGCTGGTCTTCCTCCAAGACATACCAGTGACTGAGCGAGGATGGGCCAAGTAAACAAAGGAAAAGTGAACAGGTGGAGACTTTTTATCAGATGGGTCCTGGACCACCACCGCTGAGCGCCAGGCAGTGGTGGGATACCACACCTTAAGTAGACAGTCATCCTATGCAAACACAAACATAAACATTCGGTATTACATGAGACAAACATCACACAGACAATAATTTTTTTTGCTCCATTTTTTTTAAGTGAAAGTCATACCTTCCCAATTGTAGCAAAGTATTCCCCATCAGGAGACCACTTGGCGGTGTGAATAGACGCAGCGGTCCTGCAAAAGAAAAAAACAATAACTATAAACAGGTTTGGCTATGTTCATTTTTCAATGGGTAAGACTGCACAAAAACAAAACAAAACAATGAAACAGCACTCTGGAAGTCCAGAGGAAGCTTGCACTTCCTTGTTTTACTGGCTTTTCATGTGTCATCACAAACCAATTAGTAACATGGCGTGTTTGTGTGTTTACACAGCTTTAAGCTAGGTCTCGTGACTGTGGAGTGGTTTGCAGCTGGGCATAAAGTAATTTAAGGGTGGATGAGATTGGAGAAAACATAGCTGCCAATAACATTTTCCACAAGGTTCAGGGTATAAAACGCAGGTTAATCATTTTATACAATACAAAGAGGTAACAAAAAAAATCATTTTAGTTTCGATTTTAATCTGTAAAGGACAGCAAAAACGGACAGTGGTTTTTAGAGAGGAAACAACATATTTATATCATGTGACATTTAAAAATTAAATTATACATGTCATAATTTTTTTGTGAAAATCTTGGCAAGTATAAAACATAAAAAATTATCTCAGTATCTGTTTTTCAAAATGATCAAGTAATTATAAAACTGACTTGTCTGAAACAATAAAAAGTCTTTCGAGTCACAGAAAGGCAATGTGACACACAGACAATGACATAGTGTCTTCAGTTGCATAATCTGGAAACTTCAACGGAAATCACAGAAGGAACTGAGACCTTTTACCAGAATTACTCAAGTGCATGAGTAGCCACCCTTTGGCAAAACAGAAAAAGGGAAGGAGTGAGAACTCTAAGACCATCTTGGCAGGATACGTGGAAAAGCTTTGTGGAAGTGAACACAGTAGACAGCGCGGCTCTCTCCTCACCCATCAAAGACACTCTCTCTGATGAAAAACCATTTAAACCCCAAGCTAATGACACAGCTGAAACCTTAGATTTAAGTTGAGGAACAATCTACATGTGATGTAAGAAAAACCAGCACAGTTTCAAACTAATGACCTTTAGCATCATTGATTTTTTTCAAATGAAATCAAATGAAGTCGAGAATATACGAGTGCAGATGTCATCTTAGTTTTAACTTCCCTTTAAAAACATTTATGAGATGAAAATTTGGGAGAAAAATAACTGTGTACAGTCTAAGAGTTTGAGTGTTTTTGACATGTTTTTGAAATACTGTCACCAGTAGTGTAAATAAAAATGACAAACTCTTTGGGACATATTTACACAACCAGTAAATGGTTTCTAAGTATAATGTGAACTCTCCTGGTGAATCAATTGGTCTGAGTAGGTACGTTCTGATTTTGGACATGGCAGTAAACATAGCTTCCATGCTTGGAAGCGATTGCAAATGAAAAGTTGTCAAATTATGATATATGCTCTGGATCAACAGATATGTTGTCAAAAAGACCTTTTGGTACCCGTTTACCTGCCATTGCTGACTGTAGACAACAGACTCGTTACGCTTATATGGATAGAAAAAGGCAAACACTTACTTGCACTGCCAGACACAGTTCCAGTCGCTGAGGACAGGGTGGGGTTTGTCCTCAATCATCTGCCCATCCTCCTCTTCTATGAGAGCGTCTGCCAGTGGAGGAGCCCACAGCTGGAGTCGTTCAGCTGCTGCCAGGATACGGTTCCCTGAGGTCAAAAAAGCACTTTATTAACACACCCTATGTCCCATGATGACTCCCACAACACACAATGCAGCATGGATAGGGCCATGTTTTCATACCACAGATGTCATTACAGACAAATCGAAGGGGTTAAGGGTGGAAGCTGTGTAAAAATGTGGATCATTTTATTCTGCGAAAAGGTTAAAACACAGAAAGCGTATGTATACCTTGCGGGTCCCAGGCCAGGTTGTAGGTGATGGCATCAAGAAAGAACTGTCCTGTCTTTTGCCACTGATAGTTAAGTTGCTATTAGTCGGTAAGAGAGCGAGACACACCATGCAATGTTATTTGCACACAAGTTTAATGAAAATCCACTGAAGGCTGTCTGAAGTCACAAAAAAATCTGTTAAATATGCTGGCGTCCATACTCACCTTGTGGCGTTTATTGGGATTGATAGAAAGCGGCTCAAAGATGCAGACTGTGTTTCCGTAAGAAGCGGCAATCTAAAAATAAAGAGCCATGTTCATCATCGCAGCATTACTCACCCCATCAGCGCTTATGCACAGTCATTCCCAGAAGACAGAAGGGCAGAGAGGGGAGTGAAAGAAGAGCGCAGACAGAGCTTGGGCAGTACGAAACTGGTCAAAACAGGGCTGAATGTTCCTCATTCTCCTCAACATAATTGATAACATCCTCGGTTTCCACAGACAAAAACTATGTGCGAATGAATCTGAAGGGTGTAATCAACACTTACCCTGCCAAGCTGGTGGGAGCACTCCACACAGCCCACCTGTATGTTTCCATTCTGAGCTCCCGGGATAATCTGAACGCAGTCGAAGTCACTAGCCAAGATGACTACATCGCATCCTGATCCATAGGCCTGAAGATGAGATGGACACACAGGAAAGAAGGTTGAAAGGTTTTAAAGTTTACACTTAAGATGATATCTTGTACTCTAGTTCTTCACAACTGTGTCCACATTTTTTAAGCTTTCAATTTCGACACAAACCAATTAAAATTTGGGATACGCAATGCATGTCTATATAGAAGTAAATTATCATGCCCTTCTATAATATACAAAAACATACACAGGCACACAGTGTGGGAGGCTTTTGTGCACCTGTCATCATGACTCATATATCCAGCTGTGCGGTGCAGTTGGTAAATGGAAAATAAAAGCATCTCTGGCTGCAACAAACTACCAGTTTTCCATCAACAGAAACATGAGCTGTTATAAATATGCAATAAAGCTTGACTTTCGCTGAATATTAGGATCCTGTATGAATATCTGGAGGTCAAAATGAGGCATAAAAGCAACAGATCAACTTTCTTACGTTAATTTAAATCACAATACTAAAACAGAATGTTTTTCTTTTATGGAAGTCGAGGAGAAAAACTGTAACTGAACAACATAAAAATAGTACTGGATAAAAACTGAAGTGGATATTTGCAAAGTTCTACTTTAGAAGAATCCTTTGCATCCAACTAAGCAAAAAGAAACTGTGGGAGGTGCTGCACAAAAGCATAGCAGTTGAATAACCAGGGATGAGGATTTTAGCACAACATTTTTCTAGTCTCCATTACCATAACCATAACAGTGGCTGACAAGAGGTTTAAAAAAATTTATCACAAACATTATGGCAACATATCTCAGTGTTTACAATCAGAGCTCCACAACTGCAAATAGTGCTGTAAAAAAACGTAATTTAAATTGCAGTGCTAGACTTCCCACAATTATGGCAAATCTTCAATTGATACTTATTGATGAACCATGAACCATGAAAATGAAAACAGGCACATTCTCTTTCAGTATTTTCTTGGTGTTCCTATATTTGCCACTTTCCCAATTTAGTTAATAGGCAAAACCTTGGGTGCTCTGAAATGTTTATGTATTTCGCAAATTACCAGATTGACTGTAATCAACAGAAACATTCCCAGGGTATTTTAAAATGTAAGCATTATAAACATTGAAAACCTTGTACAGGCATTTCTTTCAAAGTCTGTAATTGTATTGTTAGTTCCTAAAGAGACATGCAAAGCAGCATGCTTCAGCACGCTCAAACATCTTGCTACATATGTTGATCCTAACAGCGGATAGCTTCAGAGTATCTGTTGTCTAGGTAAAACACCGAAGTATTCATAGTTTTAACTTTCTTGCAGGGAAGCAGAGTTTTTCCCTATTTGTGCTTCTTCTAAGTATCCTTGAAAGATTCTCTCTTGATTTTACCGTCTTTGAAAAGAAAATCACAAAAATGGCTCTACTTTGACATTGAAAATATTGTGAATTACTGTATTCTAACGTTGATTAAAGGATTGATTATAGGTTACTTTTGGTCTATGTCACACAGCCCTGCAAAACAGCATGCTGATTTTGTAAGGCAAGGTGAAAAAGAGAGAAAAACATTCGCAAAGGAACAACAGAAGAATAATTACTGCAGTATTTTTATTTATTGTTAAAGACACCCAAAAGTCCAACAGACCTAATTAATATTAAACACATTGCTGCAGTTATATAACATCACCGATAACCCACACACACATTGCAGAATTCAAAAGTAACCATCTGCTAAAATAAATACAGCACCGGCTTAGATCTCAGGCTCCATGGGAGGACCTAGATTTGGATTTGGAGCATGAACTGAGAGGTAAATTGATCTGAGAATAGTTAGAGCTGTCAGCTAGCGTGCAATAGTAGAATGGCAGAGATGATAACAGCACCTGGTAGACAGGCAAGCTTGGCCTCACAAGCAACAGCGCAGCCGAGATGACGACTCGTCTCTTTCATTATTCACGAGAACAGGAGGAGAAGCTGAGAACTACTGGGTCACGGAGCAGCACAACGCCACAGCCAGTGGGTGAAGTTAATACTGGAGACCGATGCTGGCTCATGTTTGGTCCTCACTAAGCTTTAAGTTATAGGATGTAGAAACCACAAAGGCAGCTGCTGCTTTACTATTACTGCAGCATTTCCACCTGCACATTACAGCAGAAATTAAAAGCAGTCACCGTCACGCACTGTCTAGGACTGCTTTGCACCTCTCTCTTATTCACAAACACGCACGCGCGCGCGCGCACAAACACACACACACGAAAGCATAACATGAGAGCTCACTCTACCCAGTTTGTCGGCGGCACACCTCACACCTTGGATGTGTTGAGCTCCGGTGTGTTGGCATCGTTTCTTTCTTCCCACAAAAGAAGATGTGTTAAAAATATTCAAAGTTTAAACACTGCTTTGGGGTTACAAGGCAATTTAAAATTTGGTCCCATTCAAAAGTTAATCTTATTGTTACACAATGATATAGCAATTCCAGATTGTACTTTAAAAGACCATGTGGCCCAAACAACCAAAACTCTCCAACTCCAACCACAGAGTTTTATATTCACTGTGAAATATGTTCTGCAGCAATATGAAATATGTTTCATACATGAAAAGTTGCTTGTGAAATATCCACAACAACAAAAGGTTTAATGCGGACAATAGATATATGTATTTAGAGATATTTAGAGATTATGGAACTGATCGACAGATGGTTTTATTTTCCCAATGAGCTAAGCTGAAATTCTGACATCTTTTGAAAACCTTGTCCAATCAAAGCACTATAAAGCTAGAAAAGCTAAGTATTTGATCCAAGAAAAAAAATAGATGAAATAATTTGATTTGATCTAATTAAATCAAATTAGATCAAAGGTCATTCACTGATTTTGATCATTCCACTGAATTCAGGCAGCCTAAACATTCAGTGGTTTATTCAGTAAAACGCAAATGCAGCAAAATCCCCAAAGTTGTTTGACATAAAAGCATTAGCTAGCAAGAATACAACTGGATATGGTGTGACAATAAGCAGAGCCTCAAAAGAGGCAACTGCACTTTAGAAAATCATGTTAAAATAAACTATTTTCTAAAATAAATCTGAGATTTTTGAGGTTATTCTAATTTTGTACTTTCAGCTGCCCTGTTTGAAAAAAACAAAAATGAGTACTCTAAGAAAATGAACATAGTTTAGATTTAGAATTCTTCCAGTATCACTTTTGTAACCTAAGTCAGCAGACTGCGGACTTTTGAAAGATAGCAAAGGTACATTATCACAGAACAAACATGAAGCTGCTTTTAACTGTGTGTATTTTCAACAAAAGGAGCAAACGCAGTCATGTGCTTTGATGGAAACAGATAAGAGGAAGGAGAATGATAAAACACTTCTGCCTTCAAACATCAAAAACCCTCTAAACCAAACACAGGTTTAGAGGGGACATTTTTGACTATACTAGATCAGTTCTGTCCTGTAATAACCGGTGGTGATTATGTCAGTTTGTAGGCACAGTATATCCCTTTAACCTGTACTTTGACCCTCTGTGTGCAGTTATACTTTTGGGGCCTTTGCTATTGTGTCACATGACAGCAAACAAAACAGATGCTTACAACGAGAAAACTGGATCACGCGTGGTGCCTCTCCATCAAGCTTTCACCTTTGAATTCTGGTTATAGTTTAAATTCACATGAGAAAATATTCCTTTGAGAAATAAAAACTTGCCCACTTTCCCCAAAATGTTTTGCTTTTGTTCTAATTTGGTAGGTTATTTCTGTAAATCAAGTAAGAAAAAGTAGACATAAACCTTAAAAAAAATAAAATTCAGCCATTATTCAGTCCACACAGTTTTGCAGGGTAAATGTACACAGTCCACACAGCTGACTTGGCTTTCACCATTAAAAATAAAGTGCTCTCCACCTGATCCCAGACACTATTTAACATTTTCCATCATCACAATAACCCTACAAACAGCACAGTTAACAGTGGCCTCTTTGTCCAGCCATCTATAAGACTCCACACACGCATAGACACTCTACAAAGTGCGACATTGAGGCGAAAAACAAGAATCATAATTATTGCTAGATGAAGTAAATTTTGTCTGCATTTTTGATTAGCTTTGCTGATTTTTATTTAGGCAATAGGAAAGTCATTCTAAAATGTCCTAGACTTACAAAAGCCCCTTAATGACTCAACACGCAATTAGATTTTGTTTAATAATAATAAAAAGAGGCTTTCAGTAGTCTTGTTATTTACAGTTCTTCAACAAAGAGTCCAATTAATTCAACAGAGAACAGAATCAGACAATTTCTCATGTGTCACGTTTAGTTCTGTTCAGTGATGGATAAATGTTGAAAAATTGATTTTTGTTTTTCTCCCATTTATTACATGAGTCAGAACTAAAAACTCCTGCAATTTTTGGGTCACAGATTTCCATCAATCATATAGATAGATTGGCTTATTCGGTCTACACCAGAGCTCCAACAGCAGTAAATCTTGCTCAAACAAATTTTATAATCCAAACAATGTGCCGTTAGTCTGCATCAAAACCAAGCACATTTGTAAAAAAACAAAAACAGAGAAAACCCAGCAAATTCATAAAAACAGTGTCACTTTCTATCTTTATTTGATTTTTTTAACATCTTTGTAGAGAGAAGATTGCGTTAAAATGCTGGTTAAAAATTCATCAGTGTTCTATTTTCTGATATCTATTTTTTCCTCAGTTACTAATATAAAAGGCCTTTAGCTAGGCTGGAGGCAGACTCTAAATAATAAATAAATAAACACCATCCAACAGGTCAGAAAAGGTTCATTCTCAGTGTTACTTTAAGGAAATCTCTTATCGCATCTAAAAGAACAAATCTGGCCATGAGACGTTGTTCATGCCTTGCCAAAGCTTGTCCATTCATGGACGATGTAAGCTAAGTATTTGTGTGTGTGTTTTGTCAGGGTCAAGCCTAGGAGCCTTAGGGGTCAATGTGAGCGTAAACGCATTGGACATGATGTCTAGTGCTCTTCAAATAACCCTCTCAAACACAGAAAGAAAAACACCAGACATAGAAATCAGGGCCCTGTAGCGACTACCAAGGCTTTAGCTTTACAACCATCTCTGTCCTTTGCTGTTGAGCAGAGCAGATATGACCGCGGGTTCAACCTCCGCCTGTTTACATTTGAACTGCCCTCATCTGGAAACCAGGTTCTAGGGCAAGGATGGATAAGACCCTGCCATAGTTTAACAATATTTATCTCTTACAGCCCAGCAAATTGGAGAAAATCAGAAAAAGAGATCTGCATGTTTTGATGTTAAAAGATGTTACACCATAAGTAATGTGCTTCAGGAACAGGTCCAGAGTTTCATTTTTGTTTGCTGTTGTGCTTGAAAGCTGCTAAAGAATTTCTAAAACACATTCAGCAGATTCAAGTTATGCAAACAGGTACAACACAGGCTACCTTCAATACTTCACACTGACCATTTAGCAAAACAGTATTTCAGAATATTGTGTTATTCTAATCAAGGTTTTGATGTTTTTTTTTTTATTTTCTTGCAAGATACTCAATAAGCTTCATACATGTATTCGTAATACAGCTGACTCAAGAGTTCCTCCATTTTGTTATTTACGTTCCTTATCTCAATGCTTTGTCTGCACTGATCCATTTAATGCAAAATCGCCAACAATGGGTGTTGGGAGTAGGAGCACGTTGCATACCAGAGACTGTAGATGTTTGCCATCTCCCACTGCACAAAATGGAATATTGATTTGGCTTTTCTGTGCTATCTACTTGAGGCACACAGTAATTTGGGGAAGCTGCCAGACCACAGAGTGACCCATTGATTTTTACAACGCAAAGGGGTCAACAAATCACAAACATTGATTTATTTATTTATTTTATTTATTTATTGGTGTGTGTGTTCCTTGTTTAATCAGCATGATTATAGACAGGTTGTTGCTGAATGACTGCTTTCCTACACCACTATCTAAAATATAAATAATTCATATTCGCTGGCAATAAAAATGGATATTATTCTGAATCTGAACAACAAATAGTGCCATTCAGGCTCTTTTAGCGCATGTATCCATATATGGCTCTCTACGTCATGGCAGGCGCAGCTGATGCTGCGAGCTAATGATCCGTGAGGATTTAACGCCAAATGGTAGCGAGCTTAGCCTGTGCAGCGACCAGATACAACACTATATCTCAACGCTATCCTGGCGTAGACTCACGTCAAACACACTTTCTCGGTAAAACCGCACCGCCCAGCTTCATGATTTAGTCCGAGTGTGTCCCGTAGTAAATACCTTTCCTCAATAACCTTATGGCTGCGCAAAAACAGGGATTCCCTTGCGGTGGTTCTAACGTTTTAAGATGCAGCTAAAGGTCACCTGAGTGCCTATCTCGTCTCGGGTTGCTCACTGCGATAACATGTCATTCGCAGCACATTTAGCTATCAATGACTGACCGGCCGTGGGAGTAAATCGGGAGGGGGATGTGATCAGGATGCTACTTGTAGCCTGGACTCTGGGAATATGTCGGTGCGGCACTGCTGCTAAGGTAACCCGGCTAGCTGGCGCTTTAGCTCGCGCGCCAGCCCCGTCTGCGATGGACGTCAGCGTCAGCTGGCGAACTGTCCCAGCTAGCTAGCCAGTGGTTAGCCCGAACCGTTGTCGTTTTGTGCAAACAGCAATAAAATTCAAAGCCTCACCGTGAAGGGAATGTCATTAACGCTGCCCACCGAGTAGCAACAATCTCCGGGGTTCACCGCTCCCGTCAGCACCTGGTGCAGATGCATTTTCCTTCTATTTTAGCAGCAGATATGTTCTTTAATTATTTACACCGAGTCCACCCTTTCGGTTTCTCCATCTAGCAACGACTGGGAATTCCATCAGTAATGTTAGCGTTGTCCTTGGTCTGACAGCGGCGCACTCTTCTCCACAGACAGACGGCTTCAGGGGGGATTACAGCCTCGCCCGCTCTCATGTGACTTCATCGGCTCCCGACATCTGCTGTAAAATCAAAACCGTGGACCCTCGCAGACAACACCATCCTCACGATTGATCGTGAGAGCCAAGGCAGCAGGATCTCTGCAACGAGCCTGACATGCGCGTTCCCGACGTTGTCAAGGCACGACTGAATGGCCATAGATCTGCGCGGTGTAGATTGGGAAATGTGAATTTCTGAGTAACGCAGGCAAATTACGTGTCTGAATCCCTCGATAATATTCTGTTATTGTGTCTATGAGAGAGCAATAACAATAACTTAAATAAATAAGTTTTAATATAGTGTTAAACTCGTCCTGTTAACCTTTACGTCTCTTCTATAATTGTTGCTCTACACAGTTTGTGGAGCTGAGGATATTGATCATATGAGGCAAAAAAGTAGCAGAAGAGTTTATATGGATCACAGACAAAATGGTAAACAAATGCACACGTAATAATAAAAACATACTCAAACTAAAGGAAATTGTCACTGGAATGCCACGGCAGGGAGGTTTTCTCATGTGTTCATGATCTAACATGGTCCTTGTAAAATAAAGCTTGATCTCAGATGGCTTCATCACTTAAGAAAGCCAGTTTTTCCTCTTTAGCATCCTCAGTTGTAGCTCTAGCTCATCATTTGTCATATTTCATAAAGGGAATTTGTGTGGCATTTGGATCAAGACACTATTTGGTGGTGAGGAAATGGCCATCAATTTTAGAATCCTGAAAATACTGCCTTGATAATACTCTGGTTCTATCTGTTTAGTAAGGTTTCTGCAAACAACATCATGCAGATACTAACAGATATTTCACAAAGCTCAGTCCGGTTTAAATCCACAATGTGGAATCACTGGCAGTCAAGCCTTTCTGTAAATCCGTGACTTGTATATGATGGTGTGATTCTTATCTTTTTACGTGATTGTTTCTTTTTTTAAATTTTCTGAAATTATCCTTCCGTGGACCCATTTGTGTCTTTAATAAAACTGATGAGGATGATATAATATAGGCTATATAAGTTGCTAACAGCAAATTAATGCAAATGAAGGCCCAAAGACATGTGTTATGCATAGACATCCTAATTCTTTATAAAAACTTGATAATTCTCTTTAAAGTATATGTTTTTTTTAAAATTGATCCTGTAATTTTCCAGTTTTCTGACACTGAATCTTTGTTTTTTTTTCTTTAAGCTATAGTGATCCACATTTCAAGAAAAAAAGGGTTGCAATATTTCCCTCCTCGTGTAATGAAGCCATAGAACATATTATGATTTTCACTTTGTCAAAAGAGTGAACCTTTGTCAAAATGTTCTACTTTAGGAGAGAAAAAAACAATCTGTAGAACATTTTCAGTTTTTTGCAATTGTCCTATGTTTTTAAAAGCCACTGACACAGAAAAAAGGACAGTGATATCTACTGTCATATTTTGTAGAGAGTATAAGGTGAGTGAGTCAGACCTAATTAAACTTCATGGTGACGGTCTCTCATCTCCTTATCTGCTCCCATCTGTCTCACTGATGTGATTAAGAGCAGCATACAGGGAGATTTTGCTGTATATCTACACTTACTTTTACATTTCCATTCTCAGATTCACAGTAGCAATCTGCTTTATTGCCTCCAGATAAATAGGGGGACGGATCTATACGATTGATACACAGCTGACAGTCACATTGGTAGCCTACTTATTCACACCAGACTGATATCATCAGGCAGGAGTTGCCTTCAGGCCACAGTGACACGTAGGACAACAAGAGCAGGAAGCTGAAGAGCAGAAGTTCAGAAAGAACGTGACATATGCATAAACTGCTTAAAAGGGTCATAAAGTGTTTTGGCATCTCAACATTTCCCATTTAATGCCACCAAAAGTCTCAGACAACTTGGGTTTAATTTTAATTTGAACTTTTTTAAGAAAAAGTAGAATCACAGATCAGTCATGTTGGCTTAGTTCTTCTTTTTTTTTCCATATTTTTAGCTGTCAATGAACTAAAATCACTTGGTTAAAATTGCTTCCAGGATGCTGCAGGCCCTTGAAAGCAATATTAATCAGCAAGGTGCGGGTAGGGGGGGGGAAATCCATGTTTGGCATTATGTAACCTACGGACCCATCCAGTAAATTGAAATACAGTGAATTCCTGCCAGATATCTGCCTCATTCATCTTTTAAGTCTTTGAACAATTCTAAAGGGCAGGCTGCTGTGAGCTAGAGTGACTAAGATTGTGACTGCTTCCCTTGAGGCTGAGGTTTTGAAATGTTTTCCTTTTAACTGAAAAGGTGATAGTCCTCATGCATCTATTTCTTGACAGTTTGTGGCTCAAACTATGTTAATCAAACAAGAGAAAAACAGATGGACAGCTCCACAAATTGCTTATTCATGCAAGGATTATGAGAAATCCATTGTAGATTGTAAAAAGCTATTAATTAATGCCTAATAAGTACTAATTATTTGGCCAAGATTGCTGAACTGAAAATATATGTCTAAATATAAATGAAGTAATATTGTGAAACTCAAATACTAAAGTGCTTAGTCAGAAGAAAACAGTGTGAGCGGCTTGGACAATATAGGAATTATTGTTTATTTCAATACTGCAGAAAGGACAGGGGAAGGTTGTTTGCAGGTTACCACGGCTTGCAGGCCTTCTCGTGTCACTTGGAGAGAAGGCCGTAATCTACAGAGAACAGAATTAAACGCGTTATAGATTTTCCCATTTCATGGATGGCTGCTTGCTGAAGGGAGTTCCAGTCTGGGCCCCGAGGTGCAAAAACATTCAGCTCCTTGTGGCAAAAATGTAATGGACCTTCTACATGCTCCCAAACAGATGTGTCAGTAATATTGGGGAAATGCAATGTTTGCAATCTGCAGATACAAAAAAAAAAAAAAAAAAAGAAGCACAGTGAAAATGATGTGTACAATGCAGGATACACATGTTTGCAAATTAGATTACACTCCTCACAAACAAACAGAAATTTCTAAGACATTATTTCTGAGCCATCAAAGATCGAATTAGCAAATTAGAACTTTTTTTTCTTTTGGTTCCTTTAAAATCTTGTAAAGAATGTTTTAGATTTAAAGTCCTCTTATCCCTTGCAAGTGGCATCCTGAGCAATAACGATATGAATGTGTGTATGACCCCGAAGTGTCTCTATGTGTCAACATATTCTGATATATGTCACATGTGGTGTCATTCTAACTTAAACATTTTAAAGGCTTAAAAAAAATGATAAAACAAGCAAGTCTTTAAAATAATAAAAATGTTTTATTGATACTTTGAGCTTGAAAGAGCTTCAGACAGGAGATATTCAGACATGTTCTTTAAAGTCTGATTCTGATTGGTTGATCAACCCCATCTACTTCAATCCTTCTCTACACAAATTCTACAACAGAGAAAGTACCTAAAGGAAATGTGATACAGTTGAAGGGGTCTCCTCATGCATAGACTCCCATTTTTTGTGGTTTTGTGTGTTTTCTTTTTTATCTTAGCAGTGTGTAAGCTGAGTTCACAAAATTCAGCCTGAAGGACCACAGTGCACACTTTGGTCTGGCCGATACTCCTTAACCTGTCCGGCTAAATTAGGTCTACTAAGAGTACCAAGCTCTAATCCGACATTAGCAGTAAAGGAACCCGAGGAGCAAAAGAAACCTCAGTATGACAAGATCTCAGTTGTACAGGAATTTTCCTCCTCTGGCTTTGGTTTCAAACTCTACATTAACTACAGATTAGAAAAATAAACACAATGTACCTCTGAAATTTAAAAAAATGTGTTTACAAAAGTGAAAAAATTTAGAATAATGGGCAATTAAAAGTTATGATGTCAACTCTTAACATATCAGATGCAAATCTGATTGTTTCTTTTGTTTCTGTATGAAGGTTTGCATAGGATGCTAAAAATAATCAAAGCAAAATGGCTGTAACTTATGACAATGCAAACATGTGCATTTCCTTTGCAATAAACATTACACTTCATTCATTGGGATGATAAAAGCACTAAATAAGTCATCTGACACTATTATTCAGCTCAATAAAACTTGGAAAATTGATTCATTCACAACTATGGACAATTTACAAGGCACCGTCATATTTTTTGGACTGCGGTAGAAAGCCAGAATAACCTCAGGACAAAGTTCTCCAGAAAATCTTTAAACGAAACCGTGAACAATCTTCTCAGGGAGAGAGAATGAAATCTCCTTTGTTAATGGCAGATATGCAATATTAAATAACACAACTGAAACGCTTTGGCTGTTTTTACCAACGCCCGCCTGGATCTCAAACTGAGCAGAATGAGTGAGAGACATACAAGCAAGCCATAAGCAGGACACTCTGATTTTCCTCCCTCTGCACAGATGTGCTGAACAGTCTCCCAGCCTCAGATCCGGAAGCGATTAGTCATTTGCAGCATCCTCATGCTCCTCTTGACTGTTTCACAGAGCCAAATGTGTTTAGCTGCACAAATGGAGCCTAAAGCAATCGCATGATGGCTGCTCAGATAAGAAGAATATGTATAAAAAGAAAATTAACATAAATATACTATGAAAATTCAAGTACTGTTTAAAACGTGGGTCTGCAAGCGTTATGGACTTAGAAAAATAAAAATCTTGGTGCCACATTGCGGTATTCACAGCTTTTTTTTTACTAACTTCTGCATTATGGTTCAGATAGTACAGTGGTTATTGTTGATTATTGTTTACATAAAAGAAAATACAAGTGAAACATTTTACCCTTTCTGGAAAATGGTGTGATTAAATCAGACTGTGACAGTACGGTTATTTTTGTAATACACAGTGCAAGCTGTGCTTTAGAAGTTGTTGTCTTTTATGGACATTTCTATGCATAGTTATCTCTTTGATTGGGTTTTAGAAAACAATGTGACACATAATACATCGAATTAAGTAAAAGTAAAGATTTGATAACAAAAAATAAATAGCTACATGCATGCATATTCATCTTATCAGGACATTAATTGTATTGAGACCTCTTATACAAAGTTTTTCAAGGTCTTTTTTAAGTTTTACTTTTGATCTTTTATACATTGCTTTGCAATGATGCCTGAACACTGAATGAAATATAGACGTGTCAACTGCTGCATTCAGACCTCCATTTGTCTGGGATGATCCGATAATGTCTTGAGGGCAGATTAAAAGA